ATAGGTGGGGTAGTCATCCGCAGTAGGCCTAGCGGAGTCTGAAAAGCTGTCAGATCTCTGCTTCGAACGTCGAGCGTCAATTGGTTGTATCCAGAGAAGAAGTCGATGAGAGAACATATCCAGCAACTAGCGAATTCCTCAGAGAATTCGTCGACAGACGGCGGTAGATTCGCGTCCCTCATCGTAACAGAGTTCATCTTCATAGCAGCGTTGATCAAACGGTAGGTTCCTGCCATCTTCTTTGCGACTAAGAACCAGGGATTCCTATAAGGACCATTGCACTTCTCTAAAACTCCTCGTCCTAGTCGCTCGAGTAACATCTTCGTGACAGTAGGAATAAGTGCTCGAGGATAAGGGAAGTTCTTCTCCTGCCAGGCATCATGAGGTATCGTCTTGATGAGTATCGGAGGGGTAACATCCTCGTGAATCTTGCTAGCATGTGTCCAATCAAAAGCTAAAGCACCTTCTCGATTGATTAGAATGGCGTCAAACAGTTCTCGTTCTTCTAGGGACAAAGCCATTCCAACGTCAATCTGCTTCATTGCCTCAGCAGTCAACCGACTTCCAGGTTCAAATGGCGCAATGCGTGGTAGCAAGATATCTTTGAACCTGCCAGTATTCAATTGCTCCGGACAGCGCGCTTTAGACCTCTCATACCAGTCTTTCCTGCCGCCAGGACCCTCACCAGTGCCATCGTTCTGGTCAACCGGCTGGACTTTCTTTGCTTTAGACTTGTACATCCCATTGACTTCCACAGGAGGTGGTCGACGTCGCGGTCGATATCGCGGTCGGAACGTAGGGTAGTTCTTTTGAAGAGCTTGTTCCATCTTGGCTATCTCTGCAGCTTCTCCTCTGCCGTACCTGGCTAAGTTGTCCCTTCGTAGCTCGTCGGATGGAAAAGGCGTGTGTCTCGTCATACAGCGGGCGCAGAGATCGTCGTCACAGTCCTTGCAGTTGAGGTCAGGAAACAAGAACTCGCAGAAGTCTTCAAACTTCTTAACTTCTGCTGCTGACGGGACTTGGTTCAAGATCTCTTCAGCTTTCTGCGCGTCCCAATCTGGAAACTTCTCAAGAAAGATAGAAAGGAACGTCTTCTCCCCGGTGTTCTGTGGTTCCGTCTTGACACTCTCGTCTAGTCTGTATCTCGTCTTGACACTCTCGTCTAATCTGTATCTCTTCCTAAGTTCCTCAATCTGTACCGCGTTCTCTTCAAACCACTCCCCATCAACAATATTATCGAATTGGAAAAAGTCAACCTCCTCCTTTTGTTCCATCTTAGACAAAGACCCGTCACTTAACAAGTCTTCTATATCTTGTACGCCAAAAACACTTTCAAGAAGGGACGCATTATAAACACCAACAAAAGGAAACTCCTCGTCCTCCATTGCACTTGCAACTAAGGGGTGATCCAATTTCTCAGCACCGCTCCCCTCCTCTTCGGTACTGACTCCTAGTTTTCCGCCTCTCCCTCATCTTCTTCCACTTCCTCCACTACTCTCTCCCAATCATAGGGACCATGAACTTTCCCCTACTAGGTCATTTCCATCCTATGCCTCCTACTTACAACAACGACGGCGTGAACAGTGTGATTCATCCTCAAAGGGTGCGTAAACATTCCCAAGATGGACCCATCGTTTCTGATCTGATGGCGGTATCGGGTTTGGTAGATGAATGGCTGTCCAAGCAACCATTTGGGCGTTCTCTTAACAAGGAAGAAAGGTACGTCTATCTCAAAACCCTCTTGGATTTGAACGTTCATCCAACATAGACCAGCAAAGAAGTGACTTGTCGCAGCAGCTATAGACAGTTGCAAATCTTCCACCCCTTGTATCACAATGCCGAGCCTAGCGGCGGCTTCGTACGGTGCCATGTTGATCTCCGCACCACTGTCCACAGTACCATTGGCTTTAACGTACGCATTAGGATCTTAACCGCGTACAATGATGGGTACCCGAGGCGTCTTGACGATAATACCTTTAGCAACTAGTTCACCAATCTCGTTGTGTCCTACGTTCCCCTCAAGCATGGAAATTCTTAGTCCCGAAGTGTTGATCTCTAGCGGAACCTACTAAGGCATAGAAGGAGCCACAATCATAGAGCGAGCTTGACTAGTTGGGGCGGAGCTCGAGATGCGCTCAGCGAATTGCATGTTGTTAGCCATCTCTTGTTGAATAGCTTTAGCTACAGCCATAAGGGTTCGCCAATGCGCTATATCCTTTCTGAATTGCTCGAGTATCACTCCCTGCGGATTGTGACCCTCTAGTCCTTTAAGCATCTCTTTGATCTGTTTCGTCGACTTTCCAGCATCAAATCCAAGCTTGATGGGTCGTGTTTTCTTCGTCACGACAGGCGCAAGTGTAGATGCGTTTCCTCGCTCGGTCTCAGAGTCCTCCGCTTCCTCTACAGTAGCTTGTTTCGCCTTTTTCCTTTGTGCAGTGGTTTTCGCCGCGGCAGAGCGGCCCTTTTGTGGTGGGACAACAAGTCCTTTGTTGGGCTCTTCTTTGTCCACATCCATCCCTTCTTCTTCCGACTCTTCAGTATCTTCCAGGTCGGGTTGTGTCAGCCGTCTTAGTTCTTACTGCCTTTGACTCAGCGCTTTGGGAAGGCTCTTCTCAGATTCTTGGCGTCTGCGCAACGTGGTCCGCCGATCAACTCGGCTTCCCATAACACTGGCTAGATTAGTGGAAATAGCAACTTCTTCGTACCATAGCACCTGTTGCTCGTAGTAATCGTCGAATGATAGGGGTGCACCGTAGGCATCAGCGAGATCCTCGTTATGAATATTGAGGTCTACCCTCTTGAGCACTTCAACAGCGGAGTTGAGTCCTGGGATATTGACGAGTCCAGACTTGCGAGCAGCTTCACCTTCTTAAGCTTGTCGGGCCAGGCGCTCCACATTCTCTTGTCTCTTACTGAAATCGTAGTCGAATAGCCCTCCTGACATCTGGGCGATAATCTGTTCCCACATCCTACCAGAACTATTGTTAAAGAAGATGCGAGTGCCCTCTTTGCCAGGCTCGATGGGCCCCTTGCAGATTTTCCCTTCCTCATTTCGATGACAAACACCAAGTAGAATAAGCTCTTGAGTGAGAGGGCACTTGTCGATGGTGTTATGCTTGCAATTTGGGTCCGGCTCTCCATTCTTAGTACGTCCTACACACATAAAGCACATGTTTGGTTGATCAGAACCACCATTATTGCTCCAATTGCGTCCTCTTCCACTAGATCCACCGAAACCACCAAAGTCGGCATCTATAGTCGAAGTGTTGTTTTGCCTAGTCTCGATATGCGCAGAAGAAGCTGCTTGTTGTTGCGAACCTTAGTTTTGGCTTTGGTTCCGAAGCGGTTGACCGCTGTACGGTTGTCCAACACCTCCATGCGAGACTCCATACCCGCTGCTGTTCCCGAAGCTTCCTCGGCGAGAGCCCTGTTGACTGTTTTGTTGGAGCGAATTAACGATCCTCTCAACATTCGAACTCAAGCTAGAGACCTTCTGTTCCATATTAGTCTATCCCAGAGTAAGCGTACTAAGTTTCTCAACCAAGTCCTCTATCCCTCCAGACGATCTAGCACTCAGTCTGGCACCACCGCCACTACCACTGCTAGCAGGAGATTTTGACTGGGATCTAGACGGAGTTGTAGTGTGGCTCAAAGGAGCGCCACCATTTTCCACTTCCTCGTAGATAGTAGCTCTGTCCGAGAATCTAACCCTCTCTTGGGTTGGGGCCTCAGGGACCGGGAGACGACGACTGCTGCTAGTAGGCATGGACTTGTTGACCACCTCTTGTATGATGTTTCGCTGCAAGGTGTGGTAATCTTCGTCGAATTCTTCAGCAACACGGCGTTTTCGAGCTTCTGACTCTGCGATCCCTTTGATAGCACCTAGCATAGTTTCGTACGCTTCCTTGGTGTTTTCTCCATCAGGGTTGTATTGTTGCTTGTCCATAAGCTTGTCTCTGTGTTTGGGTGGCAAGCCCTTCACAAACATGCGGCAGCGGCTGTCCTCAGAGATCTTCTTGCTCTTGATGAGGTTCGAAGAGTGCCGGTCGAAGAGAACAACGTAGTCTTTAAGATCAAGTATGCTGACACGAGCTTTATCGACAAGAACCTCCAAGAAACTGACAGTGTTTTTCAAGGATGCAGAATCAGCGTGCTTGTACTGCTTCTTCAAGGCTTCGTAGAAGACAGCTTCGTCGTACTCTTCTAGTGCACTACCATAGCCATCAACTATCTTGAAGTCTTCCTTAAGTTCCGGTGCAACATAACGAAGGATTCGAGAGCGCTTGTCGGCAGCGTCTACAATGTAGCACTCTTTGCAGAGGTCGTCGAAGTCTTGTAAGAAGCTAGTGACGTTCCTTCCTGTGAAGTTTGGAGCTCCTTGCTGGCCGTAAAATGGTAAAGTAGCAGCACGAACCACTATTTGCTGTGAAGCGTTGGGTTGAACGTTAGGCAGGCTTCTAGCCATGTTAATAGTAGGTTGCGTTATGTTTTGGCTAGCTAGTTCCGCTGAGGTAGAGCGGGAGGATACGGAAGGCGTTTTTGTCTGAAACGGTAGAGCAGGGGCGTGTTCTTCTGAACTGTCGGATGAAGGTAGTTCGGTCGTATTCGGTATCTCAGAGGAATTAACGAGCAAATCGAAGTTCGCAGGAGAGTAAGATGTCGCGCGCTGAGGAGCTGAAGGTTGAGTAGAAGCACCAGCAGGACTGCTCAAATTTCTTTTGTGTGCGTGTCGAGTAGGGCTGGGTCTTTTGGGAAGTCTCTCTGATTTCTCGTTCTTGCCGGAAGTGCTCATATCGACGCTTCGATAAGCTTTGAGGCGGACAAAAGGTTTTGAGGGCCTTCTCATTCCGTCAGGGTTCGTATTTTCGCCAGGGGCAGCTACTCCTTGCGCTTTCTTCCCTACTGCCGAGGACACTACTCCTTGCTTCAACTCCATTTCGAGCTCATACTTTATTGAATCCACCGGTTCCATGATTTCCGAGACACTCGTATCTTGGTCACCATACTGGAAGTAGGATATTGTCGCGTCCACGCAAGCTACCAAGGCAAGGGGTAACTGGATCAATACTCTCAAAGTGGTAAGGACCAAAACGCAAACTAAGATTGCAATTTTATCGATTTCCACTATCACTTCCGCCCATCCCTTCGGGTATGATCCCAACGTCCGAGCAAGCAGTTTCCCTCCTCGCAAGGGATGCGAACTCTCTTTTCTTGGCGCTGGTGGTTGTTGTTGTGCCGCACTCGGCACTCTCTTCCTGCTGAGATTCGCCGCCATTCTCTCAACCCTTGGCTCCACAGCCTCTTGGCGCGTGGAATTAGGTCTTTGGAAATCAAATCAAGTCTTTTAGCAGCTCAACACATTCTCAAAACATTCTAATGTGATCCAAAACTCATTTAACACTCTCAAAAAATCAAAACAACGGCATTTGTCAAACCCCACACTAAACCACTGGTTCTGTAGACTGCCGAGGTGTCCCTAAATGCTGGGAATAACCTCACTTTGAGTGCAATCTCCCTGCGTAGGTCACCATAATGTAGAGGAGGTAAGAACATGAACCAGCAGTACGCGAAAACAACCAAAACAACAACAAGTAGGCACTGCGCGAAGCAGACCACTATTCGCAGTAGTAGAATAGGTTTAAAACATCATAAAAAGCATTCGAAAGCATATCACTGTAAAAACTAAGAGTGGGAGAAGAGTTGTTGTTATTCTAAGAGTGCGCGACCACAATATATAGGAAGCGTCACATGATAAACTAGACCCAGTTGAGTATAGTGCTAGGGAAGACTAGCGTTCCCGGGCTGGCCTCCTCCTCAACCACACGTGCCGGTCAGCGCCAAAAGGACCAAAAAGAGCTAGCCCTGCCACAGCACTTTATCACGCACCACTGACGCAGAGAGCTCAAATATTGCTAGTCTGGTGGTTTTTGGCCCGACATCAGATACCATGGCGGAGGTCTCTTCATCTTCTGGATGATCCCATTGCTGGAACAAGGCCTCATCATGCTCTAGCTGCTGCATACGGCCCAGATAGTTGAAAAGGATTTCCATTGGCTCCTGTTGGCTATCTTCGACATGTGTTGCCTCAGTTGTCAAAAGTTGCCGCGCAAAATTGGGCCGTCCATTATCAGGAACGCTGCGACGAGTATCCTTCATTCGACGGACGGTCTCCACAGGATCATCTCTTTCAGTGTCGATTGGAACGTGAACCGGAAAGATGGAAGTGAACCAACCAACAGTTCTTGAAATATCAATGTCAGAATCCCACGGCTCACGTCCGTGTGTTTCATTGAAGATTGCTGGAACATCTCTGTCGAAAAATACCCGACTGAAAGAGTGAGCAATGGCTGCCAGGAAGAGCTCGATGGGATCCGTCCGTAAAGGTTTGTTGCAGTCTCCAAGAGCCAATTTCGTGACATACTCGTTGACTGTGAACGTTTCGCAGATCACATCGCCATAGGTATTCTGGGAGCTGTCAAGTTCCCAGTAACTGGGTTGTGATGGTGGAACGTTGAATGGTAGTGTGGCGCGAGAATCATCCACGGTAGCCTTTCGCGTGTGATCTTGCTGCATTGCGCACCATACGAGAAAGGAAAGCGGTTTCTCCGAACCAAGAGCCCCCGTGTTAAGAACCTCTTCTAAGTCTTGAATGATGATCCGCCAAGAGACCATGTCAATTACAAGGTGATGTGCCACCAGAAATAGTATCTGGCGCTCCTCGCCCACGTTGAATAGATCAACAACAAAGAGCGGCCCTTGCTGAATATTGAGGCCGGATTGGATAGTCCTAATCAATGGGGCAATTTCTGACTCAAGGTCGATATGATGAACTTGATAGTTGTCAAAGCCACGCCTTCGAGTCACGCGCTGTTGCCAAGTACCTTGCTGGCCCTTCCGGAATCGTGCGCGAAGCATGGAGTGTTGATCGACGATCTTTTGGACTGCGGAACTCAGATCTTCAGGAGTGATACGCCGAGTTACATTAAGTGAGAAGCTTTGGTTGAAGCGAGATGGCCCCTGGAAAGAATCTGCAGCTTGAGACTGGAAGTACAGCTTCTGGATGGGAGAGAGATCAAAGTCCTGATCTTCGATCTCGTCCTGATGTTGGGCTTGGTTATCGTATCGAGCTTTAGATGCGAGCTCGTGGATAGATTTGCTTTTGAGGACGTCAGTCAGAGAAAAGTTAATCTTCTCTTTCCGACAATGAGCCATGACTTGCATGGAGGTAATGGAGTCTCCTCCTAAGCTCAAGAATGATTTACTCAAGGGGAGCTTTTCAATTGGAATGTTAAGAACACGAGAGATGATCCGTTGGAGAATCCGGCCTGTTTTTGTTGCTGGGGTTGTGTCTTCGTTCTCCTCATCCATTTCCAGAATTCTTTCGTATGTAAGGTCATCAATGTTGTGCAGCCAGGTCTCGACATAAGGCCGATCTATCTTTCCTGATGCGCGAATAGGGATCGAATCAACCAAGAGCCACGACGACGGTATCATGTACGGAGGAAGTCGGTCAGTAAGTCGATTTCTTGCTTCCAGAATGTAAGCACGACCCGTAGCCGCTCGAGGCTCATCTAGAACAAGATTGCAGGAATTCTTGGTAATTTCCGAGGTAGCAAGTGTATTGAGAGATACCACAGCCACAAGTCGTTTTCGGAAGGGACCATCCTTGGGTAGAGCGACGATAGCGTGCTGAATTTCCGAGTCGAGGTCCAACAAGTGTTCAATCTCGCCAAGCTCCATACGTTGACCATGTAGCTTGACTTGATGATCTTTCCGGCCTATGAAGACTATAGATCCATCCTCATTATACCTCACCAAGTCCCCAGTCTTGTACATGCGATACGGTGGACAAATATGGGCTTCATCATCAGACTTGGTGTTTGGAGATGTGCCATCAATGGCATCCGCCCAACTTGGCCAGTCAACGAATGACTCTTCAGTCTTGAAGGGATCGTTTATGTATTCGCGAGCAAGCAGTGGCCCAGAAAGTAAGAGCTCACCAACACATCCAACAGGGGCGATCAAGTTATGGTCCTGTGAGTCCGCGATCCAGGCTCGCCCACTAGATAAAGCGAATCCAACATTCGAAGGATTCCCCTGCTCAGTGACAGAGGAGTTCGAGATAGCAATGACAGACGCTTCAGTAGGGCCATAGCCATTGATGAGTGTAACCTTCGATGCCCATTGCTGAACGTTGTCTATTGACATTGGTTCTCCACCGCAAACGAGGACATTTAAAGAGGGGACAGTCGCCGGCTCGATCAAGTTGGCAACAGAAGGTGTAAGAAATGCCCATGTCGCGTTTAAGGAACAAATGGCTTCGCTCACGTTACTAGTTCGCATGTCCTCAGAAGGGATACAAACACACCCTCCACATGTGAGGGTAGTGAACATCTCCAGAACACTGACATCGAAGGTAAATGACGCAAACTGGAAAACTCGAGCATTTGGACTCATCAACAACGCCCTTTGCATTGCTACAGAGCTAGTTGAGATAGCTCTGTGCTCCACTACCGTCCCTTTTGGTTTTCCCGTACTCCCTGAAGTGAAGATAGCATAAGCGGCATTTCGGGGTAACGCCCGGCGTAATGTCTGAGTGGGGGCCGGTAATCTAAAAAACGAATCAAGTAGCTCTTGATCGATGACTAGTATGTCATCGAGTAATCCCGTAAGCTGGTCTCTGTGGTGAAGAGAGCAAAGCACAAGTTTTGCATTGACGTCTTTGATCATCTCTTGATGACGAGCTCGAGGTGATAATGGATCCAGTGGGACAAAAGCACCACCTGCAAGTAGGATGCCCAAAATGCCCACTATCGCCCAAGCTGACTTGTCCATGCAAATGGGTACAAAAACCTCAGGACCGACCCCCAAACCAGCAAGGTGGTGAGCCAGATGTGTGGCATGATCCAGAAGCTCTCGGTACGTGAAGCTACCATCCCAGGCATGAACAGCTTGGGCTTGTGGCTGAGTAACAACTTTGTCTTCGAAATCATCATGGATACATGAATCGATGATGCGTGGTATATCGGCATTCCATTTTTGTACCAATGCCTTGTCTTGGGGACTGAATACCTCAACAGAATGGAGTCTAGTCTTCATTCCAAGCTTGGGAAGGTCACTGAATTGTCTGAGAACTGTATCTAGCTGACACATGATTCTTTCAGTTTGCCACTGTGAGAGGACACTACTATCGTAATGGGCAGTTATTTGAACCTTGTTTGAATGTCCCTTACATTCGAGCACAAGCGGGTAGGTGAAAAAGTTGGACGCAACTTCGTCAGTTTGCAGATCCCAAAATCTGCTGTCTACTTTTTCTTCTAATGTCTGGATGACGAGGAGATTCTGGAAGTCGCAAGCAAGCTCAGCATATGAGCTCAGTCGCTTTATGCGCTGCAAACCGACATGTTGGTAAGTTATGACGTCGGTCGCCATCTTCTGCACTTGTTGGAGGAAATGAGCGACAGTATCTCCACGGTCAATTTGGATTCTGGTTGGAATAGTTGTGATTGTAGGTCCGACGACATCCGTAATCCCTGGGACTGGTATATTACGACCAGCCATTGTTTCTCCAAAGACGACATCATTCGAGCCGGAGTAGGCGGCGACTACCATGGCCCAGGCTGCTCTGATTGTAGTTGCCACGGTGAAGCCCATGCTGGCCGTGTTCTTGGAGATTTGGGTGGTGTGTGTCAACACTTGGGAAGCGCCCGAATGATCGAAAGCGAGCTTCTGATGCTGTGGGAATTGTAATGGAGCTGCGCCATCAAGCGTGGTTCTCCAGTACTCGTTGGATATTTCCTCATCAGTACTGGTGAGATATTGAATGAAGCTTGAGTACAAGCTTTTGGGAAGCTGCAAAGACTCTTCATGATACAATTTCTCGACCCTACGCAGGATCATTGGAAGACTGAAGCCATCAAAAAGTGCATGATGTATTTGCCACATGAAGTGCGTATCGCCAGAATTTACCCCTCGAGCGATTGTGTATCTGGTCAGGACTCCGCCATTGTCTGCTGGGATATCAAAATCATGGCTATTATCCAGGTTCTCCACCATATTCCATTCAATGGGGTCATGTTGAAGAACTATCTGCACGAAAGCAGATGATTTCATGTGCACGATACGGGTTCGTAGAATAGCGAGATCCTCGACGGTCCTCTCCCATGCAGTCTTGAAACGATTGACGTCTAAATCCTTAGGTAGCTTGAAGACATTCCGTATAACATACGCACCGGTCTGCCTAATGGAAAGTGTGACGAGGCCTTCCTGGAGGAGACTGCAGGGATACGCATCGGAAATCAACTGTTTATCAACTCGGCACTGTTGCGAAACTTCTTCAAGGATCTCTCCAAGCGGTTCGTTGGATTTGAGAAGTGAAAATGGCTCGATTTCTGATTGATGGTTCTCAACCAATGTGGTGCAGACCGAGGCCATGTCGCATAATCTTGGGTTCTTGAAGATATCGCTGACGGTCAATGATATACCCTCTGAACGAGCTAAGCCAACAAGATTCATTGCAGTGACTGAGTCTCCACCAAGACGGAAGAAGCTGTCTTCTGCACTGATTGATTTTGGCGCCACGATGTTCAGAACATTTTCCCATACACTTTGGAGTTTCTTTTCCATTGCGCTAGTCGGTCCTACCAAACTCTTGTTGTCCGAACCCGTTGGTCTATATTGTTCGGTGATTTCTGTTGGCAAAGTCTGAAGAATGTTTCGCAATCGTGCTCGATCCAACTTGCCGGCGCTCGTCCAAGGCAATCTCGTGACTGGAACATAGAACGAAGGAATCATGTATGCTGGCAGAACAGTGGCTAACGATGAGTCTAGGTGCCTGGCTAGTTGTTTCGTGCTATTGGACATAGAAAGCAGAATCTCGTCCACGCCAGAAACACGTTCATCTTCCACAGAGCCGTGATCCTCAACTTGATGGGTAAAGAAGACCGCAAGTGCTTTGGTTGCTATCCGGCTCATAGGAGCAACAAGCTCCACGGCAGAGAGATAATCTTCAGGTAGACCGACTTTCACGTTGTATTCGATCTCCCCAAGCTCAATTCGTTGACCGTTGAGCTTGATCTGGGTGTCTTTGCGGGACACGAAGGAGAGTGTACCATCCGAGTTATAATGGACAAGATCACCAGTTCTGTAGAGTCGCTGCTTTGTTTCCATGCTCTGTAGCCATGGTGGATCACTGATGAAGCATTCTGCTGTCTTGACGTCGTTATTGAGATAGCCGCGTGCGACGGTCCGGCCTTCCACCACCAACTCGCCAATCCCACCTACCGGCACGAGCTTGTTATAGTCATAAGGATCGACAATCCAAGCTCTACCTCCGACCGCTTGCCCTATGTTTGCAGGATTTGTGTTGACTTCGTTCCCATTCTTATCGACTTTCCACCCCACACTCGCAATCACACTGGTTTCAGAAGGCCCATAGGCATTGACCAAGCTGCAATGTCCTTTCCATTTTGCAATATGCCCTGGTGTCATCTTCTCACCTCCAGTTACGAGAACTTTGAGGCTGGGGACGCTTCTTGGTGATAATGTGCTTGCGACTGAAGGAGTGAGGAGAGTCCAAGTCACTTTCATCGACTTAATGACACCAGGAAGATTGTTCATTCTATCCTGTTCACTCGGTATGCAAACACAGCCACCAACGATAAGGGTAGTCAGTATCTCCATAACGCTCGCATCAAAAGTATGGCTTGCGAACTGTAGTACTCGGGACATTGATGTCAAATCCATGGCTCGGCTGTGTTCCAAAGCGCTAGTGCAAAAAGCTCCATGTTCAATGATCGTACCTTTCGGTCGACCAGTTGTGCCAGATGTGAATATGATGTAGGCCGAATTGTTTGGGGTAGCCCGGGGAAACGAATAAGTTTCAGCAGGATAGCTGAGCGTTTGGACAAGATTCATGTCAACGACGATGATCTTTGTGCAAGCTCCGGATAGTTTCCCAAAACTCTCTTGAGAACAGAGTATCAAGTCACCTCGAACATCATCGACAAAGCTTTTTAATCTCCCATGAGGCTGCGTGTGATCAAGTGGACAGAAAGCTCCTCCTGCTTTCAACACTGCAATCATAGAGACAACCATCCAAGCAGACTTCTGAAAACACAAGGGCACGTAGGTCTCGGGTCCCACTCCCAGTTCGACCAGATGGAAGGCGAGGCGCGTCGATATTTCATCCAATTCAGGGTAGCTTAAAGTCGCATCCCGAGCACAAACAGCAGGAGCGGTGTGCTTCCGGACTACGTGACCGTGAATTACATCATGAATGCATCTGTCCACCGTCACTGGCAGTCTCCGATTCCAATGCATCACTTGTTTGCTACTATGATCGCTGAAAAGATCCAAGTCTCCAATTTTATAGTTGAGCTTCTGTCGAGAGATGATTTCGTTCAGTACGTGATCAAAGGTTCTGACAATGTTCATGGCCTGAGCGTCCGACAAACAGGTGGTCCAATATCCCAGATGAACTTCAACACCAGACTTCATAGCTTCAATATTCACAGTAACGTCGTACTCATTCGGATCATGAGCGTCGAGGACACCAAATTCGATGGTGGGCGCGGAGGAAACAGAGCTAACTCTGTCTTCCGTGCGTTTCTGGAAAGTAAATGCAGTGTTGAAGAGAGATCTGCTGGAAAGCTGGAGCTCGTGCTGTACATCGGCTAACGAGCAGCTTTGATGAGCCATTCCATTCACAAAGTCAGTCTGAATCTTGTGTAGAGCTTCATTAACAGGAGTCGTTCTGTCAAGACGAATTCTGCAGGTCAACATGTTGATGAAGGCGCCCACAGCTGCATCTTGAATGCCTTGAATTGGTGCATCTCTTCCAGAAGTCAAATAGCCGAAAGCTACCTCATCAGTTCCGACGTATGCTTTAAGAACCATCGCCCAAACGAATTGGAGAACGTTCGACATTGTGAATCCATTTTTGCCGCAGAATCTTTCCAGCTCTGAGGAATCGGTGAGTGGAAGAACCAAAGTCCGCAAGTTCTTCTCCACCTTGAGATTATCGTTTAGAACGTCCAAGTGACATGGCTCGGCTCCGGCCAAATATGCTTTCCAATAGTTGAGATCGACTTCTGTGGATCGATTAGACAGGATATGGGCAATGTAGTCGCTATACCGAGGTGCGGCAGGTGGTAGTTCTAGGTTTTGTAGAGCATGAGTCTTAGCCATATGTGCAGGGGCTTGTGTGTACGCAAGAGCGAAGTCCCGAAGTAAAATTGGCATTGAAGTTCCATCACAGATGGCGTGACTAAGCTCAAGCTTGCAGAATACCCGATTTTGATTGGTTTTGCATAGAGTGAGTCTGTGAGGTGGCTGGAAATCCACGAAACTGATAGGCTTTTGCTGCTCGAATGTCTCCTTCACTTGAGAGTCTTCGCATTCAAGCCAAGCGATTCTGGCACTCGTGTCTCGTAAAACAACTTGGTCATTGAGTCCCTTCTGGCAGATACTGTCGATAAAGACCGTTCTCAGGACAGGATGTCTATGTAAGACGGCCTGCCAAGCGTCTGCGAGAGCATGTGGGTTAAGCAGATGTCCCTCTTGCGCGTGAACTTCAAGTAATGTCGAATACGCATATAGCTCTGGGTCCTTGGACTGAGCGAGGAGCATTCCTTGTTGCACAGGAGAGCAAGGATAAACATCCTCGATTCCGTCAATTGATCGGACGCCAAGTTGGGGTAGTAGCTGTACCAACTTCGAAATGCCGTCGTATGCGAGGGGCAAGAGCGGAAAATCACTCAAGGTGCGTTCAGGATGTATCTGAACTAACCGATTTGCTGCATCACGCAAACATCTCTCACACTCGTCGATCCAGTGATGTATTTTTGCTTGTCGTCTCATATTGCGATTGTATGAGAATGTCATCTTGAGAGACCCGTTCGTCACCGAAGCTGAAATTTCGAACAGTGCGAAGCGAGGTACATCTCGACCGATATCAAGGGTGGCAATGTTGGGATCGCTTACTGTTTGAAACAGAGTGTCATTACGATCAGGTTGTTGCATCTTCCCCAGGTAATTGAAAGCAATCTCCATTGGCCAGTGATTTGAGAACCTTTCTTGACCTTCTTCAGTGAGCATGCGATATGCGAAGTACGGCCTCCCCTTTTGTGGAATTCGTCGGCGAAGGTCTTTGACCCATCTGATTGCATTTAAAAGATCCGGATTGTTCTCAGATCGAGTAGGAAGGAATATGGGGCACATGGTAGTGAACCAGCCCACGGTGCGTGATAAATCAATCGTCGAGAACTCCCATGGTTCTCGCCCATGACCCTCATTGTAGATGGTTGGCATGGTAGACCTGCTCGAGAATACTTTGCGGAATGATTGGAGGACCGAGGCGAGTAGTACATCCACAGTCTCGCTTCCCATCGCTTCGTGGGAGGCCCCAAGAAGACGTAAGGAAGTCTCCGAGTCAAGTTCGAATCTATTCTCAATTACGTCGCCGTACGTGTTTGGTTTATTCTCCATATCCCAAAATCCCAAATTGGCCACCGGTACCTCTTCTAGATTTGGTGAGGCATGAGACATAATGCTCTGGGTGTGCTCAACTTGTAGATGGGACCATTTCTGGAATGAAAGTGCACTCTGGGGCTTGGTATTAACTCCTTGGAGGATATCTTCTAAGTCTTGAAGAATGATGCGCCAAGAAACGACATCTATGACCAGGTGGTGCGCAACAATCGACAGAATTTGTCCTTGGTCTTCGGTGTCGAAGAGATCAACAGCGAGGACTGGTCCGTCTTTAATGTCCAGAGACTCTTGGCTTTCCTGGATGAAAGATGGGATCTGATTGAAGGATGTACTTCGAGTCAAAAACCTGTAGGTTGCACGGCGACTTATACTCTGTTGCCATTCCCCAGATTCGCTTCGGGCAAAATGAGCTCGCAACATTGAGTGGGCATCAACAACTGCTTCCATGGCTGTTGCAATATGCTCTGCTTTCATCCGGCGAGTGAGTTTGAGCAAGACACTCTGATTGAAGTGATTCACCAGATCTCCAATACACTCGAAATAGAGTTTCTGGATCGGAGAAAGGCCAAACCACTGATCAGTTGCTTCTACTTCCTCCGCCATCTCCTCAGGCAATGTCACTCGTAGCGCCAAGTCGGAGATTGATCTACTCTGGATGATGTCTTTAACAGAAGTTCCCAGCCCTTCAGCTCGACACTTTGACACCACGTGCATGGCGGACAGAGAGTCCCCGCCGAGGTGCAGAAATGATTGATGCAGCCCAATAACTTCTAGAGGTAGGTTGAGAGCGGCAGCTAGGACCTTTTGCAGTTTCATCTCAAGCTTCGTGCCTTCGATCGAAAGATCAATCGAATTGAGATTGGCAATTTGATGGTATGTTTCTGAATTGATCTCCTCGACCCAGCGCTCAATACGATGCCTATCGAGCTTCCCTGATTCTAAAATGGGAAGTGACTGTAGTATTACCCATTCTGAAGGCACCGAAGAAGCTGGAAGTTTGTCGCAGAGACGTTCACGGATGACTGGAAGATAGAACGCGTTGGCGTCTCTGACCACAACCTTCAGACCGGCACCTCTACAATTGGCAGCTGCTAGCTCTTGCAGCGAAATCACTGCCACCAGAAGATTTTTGCAGGCTCCATCTTTGGGGACAATAACCATAGCATGTTGGATGAATGGATCTGTTCTCAAGCGATGCTCTATCTCTGCAAGTGCCAGCCACCGGCCGTGCTGTTTCGTCAGAGTATTTTTGCGTCCACAATAGATCAGGTCTCCGTTTGAGGTGTATTTAACGATGTCACCTGTCCTGTAAAGTTTCCTTTGAGCCACTTCTTTTGATATGCTGGTCTTTAAGGCCCAGTTTGGAGGGTTGAAAAAGGCTTCAGACGTCATTGTCTCCTTGTTCAGATACCCTTGTGATAATGCTGGGCTGTCGAAAACAAGTTCTCCTTGAGCTCCTATAGGAACTAACCTATTGGAATTCGAAAGATCAACAATCCAAGAGTGGCATCCAATCGCATGCCCGATATTCGTAGGGTCCGCCGTCAAAGACAACTGAGTGCTAACAGTGGCTACCACTGAAACTTCTGCGGAGCCGTAAGCGTGTAGCAACTGCAGCTTATCCGCCCAGGTTGAAACTTGGGTCCGGGCCATCGATTCTCCAGTGAGGACCAGAGTTTGAAGTGTTGGCACGGTAGAAGGCTGGATGAGTTGGATAAAGGAGGGGCTCAAAAGGGCCCATGATACTTTCATCTCTGTGATCACATCGGCGATGAAATCCATTCGTCTGTCGTCCCTTGGCACGCACACACAACCCCCTATCGTTAGAGTCATCAGGATCTCTAACAGGCTAGCATCATGTGTGTACTTTGCGAACTGGAGAACTCGAGACGACGAATCCATTCGTAAAGCAGGCCCATGTGTGGCAATTCTAGAACAAAATGTTCTATGCTGCACGATTGTACCCCTGAATCAGTTAGAAAGGTTCGTAGAATAAAGTTGGATTCTTACTTTGGTTTTCCGGTTGTCCCGCTTGTGAAAGTAACATAAGCTGGACCGATACTGGCCACAGTGGGTATACCAACCATCTTTGGCCAATTCTCGATCACATCTCGCTGTACAACCATGACAGCAGCAAATTTGGAACATAATTGCTCGTATTTCGGAGAACAAAGAATCAGCTGCGCGTTGGTGTCTCCTACAATATCTTTCAGATCGGAAACGGAAGCCTCAGGGTCCAGAGGAACGAAAGTCGCTCCAGACAGCAGAATTGCTAGCATTGTAACGATGGCCCAGGCAGATTTCTCAAAGCACAACGGGAGCAGAGTGTCTCGAGCACCAGTCTCCACCAGACGTCCGGCCAGTTGTGAGGACAGACAAATGAGTTCGCGGTAAGTAAGAGTAGCATCCCACGACTCCACTGCCGCTTTCGACTCAGGCTGCTCGAGGGCTACTTTTTGTATGAGGTGGTGGATACAATCCTCGGCGAAATACAAGGGACCGCTATTCCACTTCTGTATGAGGGATTCGTCCTGCCGAGTCAACAAGCTCATCTCGCCCAACCTGACATTCATCATCTCTGGCGAGTTGAAACGCTCGATGAGGAACTCAAACTCGCTCATGACCTTTTCGACCATCCAAGTAGAAATAACTTCTTGGTCATAGTGAACTTCGATTTCGACCTGTCCATGTCCAATCTGGCAAGATATGGTGAGAGGATAAGAATAGAAATTCGTCCCTACTGTTCTACCACTCTGCAAATTCCAAAAGCCGTCTTCCAGATCCGCTTCATCATGATGAATAGCAAGCAGGTTCTGGAACCCACAAGCATGTGCGGTATGTTCAGAAAAATTCTTGATGTGTTGGAGACCTGTGTGTTGGAACGGTATTGTTTCAGCCGACCGCACCTGAACGTCTTTCAAGAATTGAGAAATGGTCATTTCGGAATCCACTTGTACTCTAGTCGGCACAGTTGCGAGCGTAGGGCCGATGATATTGGTAACGTCTGAAACAGGAACATCGCGTCCTGTGAGAATTTCCCCAAATATGACGTCGTTAGAAGCGCCCGAGTAGGTTGCAACGACTATGGCCCAGGCTGCTCTGATAGTTGATGGAAGTGTGATGTGAGTTCCAGCTTCGCGGCGGATTTGGATACTATGTGTAAATGACCCCGTTGCATGCACTTGGTAGGATGGGTGAGGGAGTGGAGGAAAGTGTACAGCTGTTGTACCAGAGAGCTTCAACTTCCAGAAGTTCTCGGATTCGTTTGCATTTATCTCCGATAGGTACCTGATGAATTTCGGATAAGCAGATCCAATGACTTTGTCCATAGAGGAGATGTCGTAATAACAGGCTTCTACCCTTTGAAGCATGAGTGGAATACACCAACCGTCGTAAAGCGCGTGGTGTGCAGTCCAGATAAAGATAGGCTCCGCTCCATTATCTTCGACTATGCTGTACATTGAAAGATCTCCGCCATTGTGAGGAGGGAGGTGTCGGTCCTGCTGCACAATGTCTTGTAATTCAGTAAGGTAGTGCCAGGAGATTGGTTTTTGAACAACGACTTGAAGGAAGCCGTAGGATTCTAGGTAGACGATCCGAGTCCTGAGAATGAGTTCAGCTTCTACCACCTTCTCCCAGGCTTGCTGGAATTTTGCCAGATTAATGTTTGCTGACAAGCGATAGATATTTTGCGCAACATAAGCTCCAGGATCTTTGTTGGATAGGGCTATCAATCCTTCTTGGATAGCGGTGCACGGATAAATATCTTGAATAGAATCAACATGAACACGACACTGAGACGCAAGTTCCTCGAGTAAGTCCTGGATTGAAAGACCCTTTTGACATAAACTGAAAGGCTCGACGGGAGCTTGGTCGGCGTATGTTTCTTCGCCAACAGATAGAAGGGTAGGGTCCAAGGCTAGGTCCATTAGAACCGGTTTCGTGAAGACTTTTGCCACGGCAAGGGAAATCCCTTTGGATCGAGCTGCCGAAATCAATTTAATTGCTGCTACCGAGTCACCACCCAGACGGAAGAAGTTGTCGTCTAGCCCTACTGTATTGGCCTCAAGATTCAATGTTTGCTCCCATAATTCAGCTAGCAGTTTTTCCATACTCGAAGATGGTGGTCGACCTGATTTACTTGCGAGTCTGTACATTGATGTTTCAGCTTCTGACAGTGACTTGCAAGACGAGCGCAATGCCTTCCGGTCTAATTTCCCAGATGATGTAGTTGGCATTGCTTTAACGGGAATGTATATTCTCGGAACCATGTATGAGGGAAGAGAGCTCGCAATGCTCGTCTCGAGCTCGGTAGAAATAAGCCTCATGGATTCTGACATCGGCAATATGAAATTGCCCAGGCCCGAGGCTGGTACTGATGCGTTGCTCTCAACACAGAAGAAAGCAGCGAGAGCTTTGGTGGCCCTTTTGTTCCTCTCTAACGAGATGAGCTCGACTGCAGACTGTGCGTCTGATGGCAAGTTTGATTTCACGTGATGTTCAATTTCTCCAAGCTCAATTCGTTGACCGTTGAGCTTCACTTGAAAGTCTTTGCGACCTAGATAGGTAATAGTACCGTCCGAATTGTTTCTGGCTAGATCACCGGTCTTGTACATTCGTTTCTGTTCTCCGTTGGCCCATCTAGGGCTGCAGATGAAGACTTTGTCGGTTTTCTCGGGATCATTGAGGTAGCCACGTGCAAGAATTGGTCCCTCGATAAGGAGCTCTCCCACACTTCCAGTTGGAACGAGATAGTCATGGTTGTCCGGGTCCACAATCCATGATACACTGCCAATAGACTTTCCAATATTTGTTGCTTCGGAGGACCTGCCTAGATCTCCATTCCAGGTGGAGTTGATCGAGCATTCAGAAGGTCCATAGCAGCAATGAAGCGACACTGCATCGACCCATGTCTCAATGGCCTCTTTCGTCAGAGCTTCTCCGCCAAGCGATAAAGCTTTCAGTCCTGGGACTTCAGATGGGCGGAGGAAACCGGCTACTGTTGGTGTGATGTCTGCGAAATTCACCCCAAGCTTATTGATTGCTCCAGCAAGGTCGTTGAAGCGTTCATGCTCCGATGGTACACATACACATCCTCCGTGCATGAGAGTAATGAAAATTTCTGCCAAACTATTGTCAAAGGTGTATGCCGCGAATTGCAGCACTCTCGAATGCGATCCAAAGCCATACGCTGTTCCGGTAGCATGGGAACTACTAACTATCGCTCGGTGTTCAAGGACAACTCCCTTAGGTTTCCCTGTGCTTCCGGAGGTGTATATGATGAAACAAGGGTTTTCAGGTCCGACCATCGTGCCTTCAAACTCGGTGGGAGCGGGTAGACGGTTCACATCTTCATCGCTGACACAGATCACAGACACACCCATGTCCTCAAAAAGGTCGACACAAGAAGGAGAAGCAAGTACAATCTTGGCGCGGGTATCTTTCACACGCAATTCAAGCGCGTTTCTGGGATGAGTGGCGTCGAGGGGGACGGCAGCGCCTCCCGCCTTCAGAACACCAAGCATCGCGACAATAGTCCAGGCTGACTTATCAAAACAAGTTGGAATACATACTTCTGGCCCAACACCTAGCTCAATGAGGCACTGAGCTAGGCGGGTAGATACGGCGTCCAGCTCGGCAAATGTAAAGCTAGCATCCCAAGCACAGACGGCTGGAGCATCTGGCTGCGAGTACGCTTGCCTGGAGATGACTTTGTGCACACAGTCACCCAGAGCCTTGGGGATGTCGCGATTCCATTCTTGAAGTTGTTCATCATGCATTGAACTGAACAGCCTTGTATCCTCAATCAAATTGTCGGGATTATCGATGATCATGGACAAGGCTTGTAAGAAAGCACTGCCTACATTTGCAGCTTGTCCGGGAGACATGTGATCGGTCCAGTAATCAAGGTCAATGAGAATGTCATTTTCTGAAGCTTCCACATTGACAGAGACACTGTACTCCGTGGGGTCGTAGATTGGAACACATTCTTTGAACGATACTTTCGATGGTACGCTCTGCTCTTGAGGAAGACGTCGAAATGACAGAGCAGTGTTGAATAACGGAGATCCTGACAAATGTAAAGCATGCTGAACTTCTGCCAAGGATGTAGTCGAATGTAGTAAGCTATCCATGTAATCCTTCTGAAAGTTGTCAAGCACCGAACCAAGCCTGCTTTTCGGCTCCATGCCAATTCTGCAAACGAGCATATTGATGAAAGGACCGACTGCTTCTTCAATTCCATTGACTAGCGAGTCTCGTCCGGATATCAGATACCCAAAAGAAACGTCATCAGAGGAGGTATAGCAGCGTAAGGTAAGACTCCAAGCCATGTGAAGGACGTTCGAGAGAGTCCAGCCATTTGTCTCGCAAAACTTCCGCAGTCTGATGTAATCGGAATCGATGAAGTCTAGGCGCAGAGATCGGAGCTCTTTGGGAGCCGTGAGACCATCATTGAGTGTTGGGAAAATGCAAGGCTCCACTTCGGCAAGGTAGGTCTTCCAGAACTCCACACTGGCCTCAGTTGGCTGGTTTTGGAGAAACGAAATGTAGTCGCTGTAGAGCGGCTTTGGTTCTGACATTAACGAACCTGTGCAGGCCAGAGCGAGGTCTCGGAAAATTATGGACATCGAGGCTCCATCCATGATGGCATGGCTGATCTCTAATTTGCAGATAAGGTTTCCTCCTGAGACTTTGCAGATTGTGAATCTGTGTGGAGGGCGATTTGCACCAACTGCATCGACCTCTTCTGAAAGCTTTCGAACAGCAAAGTTGCGATTGCTGCAATCCATATAGATGATATCAGAAGCGTAGTCCTTCAACACGACCTGGTCGTAGAGGCCTTCATTGGTACTGAATGTTGGAACAAACACCGTTCGAAGAGCGGCATGACGATCTACCACCTGTTGCCATGCCTGAGAGAGGCGATCGGCATCAATTGACAAGTCCGCTGATACGAGCTCATAGATGACCCGCACTGCATAGAACGCAGAGCTTTTGGTCTGACTGATGAGAAGGCCCTCTTGCATTGAAGAACACGGATAGATGTCTTCGACTTCTTCAACTGTCGAGATGCCGATTTGTTTCAATCTTCTCGACACATTTGTTTGGAGGTCGTCGTATGAGATAGATAGTAGCGGGAAATCACTCAAGGTAGCCTCTGGAGCCATTTCTGCTAATGTACTCACCATGGAGATAATCATCTGCTGACAGCTCAAGATCCACTGATGAATCTTGCCCTGATGCTTCATGCCACGGTTGAAGGTGAAGGAAAAGCGGAGTTTCCCCTGTGCAATCACAGCAGATATCTCAAAAAGCCCAAATCGTGGAGTCTCGAGCCCAACATCTGCTATGCCGCCGGCTCCACGAGTTTCTCCAGCCATAGCGTCAGCGGGCATGAGAAGCGCACCCTGACGCTCCAGCTGTTGATATTGGCCCAGGTAATTGAATGTAACTTCAAGGGGCCAGTGGTGACTGAAGCGGTCCCGACCTTCATCCGTCAAGAATCGAGCAGCAAAGTAGGGCCTCCCATTGTCAGCCACTCTGCGACGAAAGTCTTTCACGTGTCGCACAGTGTTGATGAGGTCCTTGGACGCCGATTCATGAATGTGAACGGGATACATGGCTGTGAACCACCCCACGGTCCTGGATATATCTATGGCCATTCCAGAAGGTTCTCGTCCATGAGCTTCATTGTAGATAGTTGGGACGTTGCGATCCTCGAAGGTGAGCGCAAACGAATGTATGAGCGATGAAAGGAGAATATCAACGGGGTCCGTACGAAGAGCATTGTGACACTGAGTCAGCATCATGGATGTAGCTTTCTGATCAACTTCAAACCCTTTGCAGTCAACGGTCCCGTACGTGTTTGGTGATTCCAGCATGCCCCAATACGAAGCATCGCTGAGTGGCACGTGATCATCTTTGGGCATAGAATGATTGGGGAGAACCTTGTCAATAGCGAGCTTTTGACAGTGATCAGCTTGCATTTGACACCAGGTTTGAAAAGACGCAGGTTTTTCATCGGAAGTGTGAGGAGAGCCTGATAGCAGCTCCTCCAAGTCCTCAAGAATCACGCGCCAAGACACGAGATCAATCACAAGATGATGGCCAACCAAGAACAAGAGTTGTTTACCTCCTTCGACTTGAAAAATATCTGCAGCAAAAATAGGACCTAGAGCAGTATCAAGGCAAGTTTGGCTATCGGCAATTGCTGGATGGGCATTTTCTGGGTGATCGATCTGGTGGCTTTTGAGTCTATATGACCCAGAAACGTCATCTGTGATGCGCTGTTGCCATTTCATAGTGCTTTGTTGCCAAACAAATCGTGCTCTTAGCATTGAGTGGCGCTGAATAATGATTTCGATAGCCAAACGCAAGTGTTCTTCCTGTATATTTCGAGACACGCGTAAGAAAAAGCTTTGATTGAAATGACCGTGGCCCTGGTTGGGAAGTGCAAAATATAATTGCTGAATAGGAGAAAGGTCGAAATGTTGCCCGATGATCTCTTCATGATGAGAAGAGGACTCGAGGGTCTTGGCGAATTGTGAAAGTTGCTTGATCGATTTGCTGCGAAGAATATCTTGGACTGTCAAGGAGATTTTCAACTTCGAACATTGCCCCTTGACTTGAATTGCACTGATAGAATCACCACCCATGCTCATAAAGGACCGATTCAGGTCTACCTGGTCAATGTTCAGATTCAACACGTGACTCCATATCAATCTCAGTTTGCTTTGGAGCTCTATCGCAGGGGTGGCTGCTTCTTCCGCAGTTTGGGTAGGTTTGGTCATAGTCATCATGGAACGATATGCTTCGTCGTCCGTGCTTTCCACCCACTTCTGCGCTCGCTTTCGATCCAGCTTTCCAGATGGCAGGAACGGAAGGCTCTCAACGACCAGTACAAGGGAAGGCACCATGTATGCCGGAAGAAGCGACGATAGACGCTCACGAATCTGATCGGGATCTCGGATTCGGTGTGGCACCAGGGCCAGAGCGGTAGTGGCTTGACTTGAATTTGTATGGGATAGGGAGACGACCGAGACGAGGCGATTTCGGAAGGGCCCTGCTTTCGGTAGCAGGACCAAGCCATGCTTCACAGAAGGATCGGTGACAAGGTGATGCTCGATCTCGCCCAATTCGACTCGCTGACCACGAACTTTAACTTGGTTGTCTTTTCGTCCGATGAAGCTGAAAGTGCCGTCAACGTTCTGGCGAACCAAGTCGCCTGTCTTATAGACACGCCATTTCTTCTGATTGTACTCGAAAAATCCGGGATCTGGAACAAAAGATTCCTCGGTCTTTTCGGATTGATTCAAGTACCCTCTTGCAAGAGTTGGACCCTGTATCAAAAGTTCTCCGACGCAACCAATTGGGACCAAACGGTGATGATCATCCGGACTCGCTACCCATAAGTGTACGCCAGTTGGATAACCAATGTTCTTGGGCGAGGTTCTGGGAGTGACATGAGATTGAACCGCTGCTGCGACTGAAGCTTCGCTAGGTCCGTAGCCGTTAACGAGCTCGATGTGAGACCATTTGTCGACATGCATCTGGCTCATGGACTCTCCAGCCATAACCAATGTCTTCAATCCTGGAACTTCAGCTGGATCAATCAATCCAACAAAAGATGGTGTGAGAACCGCCCAGTTGACTTGCAAATTTTCCATGGTAGTAGTGATACTATTCAGCCTCTCCTCTTCACTGGGAATGCATACAGTGCCACCAACCATCAGAATAGTTACAATTTCCACGAGACTGGCGTCAAAGGTGTGGGAAGCAAATTGGAGGGCACGTGACTCTGAACGCATGAGCATGGCTGGCCCATGGGATTTGGCACCCGTACAGTAAGCTCCATGCTCTATCATTGTACCTTTGGGCTCGCCCGTGGATCCAGAGGTCCAGATCAAGTACGCGAGATCGGTGCTATTGACTTTGGGCAATTGATCATCGTGCTCAGGGAGGTTCCGAATCATAGGGCCATCGATAGGAATTATCGTCTTCGCAATAGAGGCAAGCGCGATAGAGTGTTGTTGCGAACACAGCACAATGTTTGCTTTGACGTTACTTGCCAGAGTTTGAAGGCGAGAAAGTGGGGCCAATGGGTCGAGAGGAACAAACGCAGCTCCAGCCTTCAAAACAGAAATCATCGCAACAACGTTCCATACAGATTTATCAAAGAGAAGTGGTACGAAATCTTCATGCTCTACTCCTTGAGCTATCAGATACCGGGCCAGATGAGAGGAATAAGAATCAAGCTCGTGATAAGAAAGAGATTCGTCGCTAGAGCACAGGGCTTCTTTTTGGGGCTGAACAAATGCACGATCATGAATGATCTCGTGGATACAAACCTCAACGGATTCCAAGCTCCCCTTATTCCAATTACAGATTTGATCTTTATTACGATCGCTGAGATGATCCAAATCTCGAATTGGAGTGTCTGGGGCTTCCGCTGATTGGTGAAGCACTTTCTGGAGCGTGCTTGCGATGTTCAACACGTGATCTGAAGCCTTCTCAAGATCTTGCCATACGAAGAAGATCTTCAGCCCATGATCCAAGAACTGAACCTCAAGCGAAAGTTGAGCCTAAATGTTGTCAGAAGCTGGAGTCTTTCATGCTGCAGAGATGGGATACTGACTTGCTCAGAAAGTACAGGTTTGAGTGACGAATTGGCGTTGGATGCTGCGGATTTGGCCAAGGTAGACAGAGTAGTATTGTAGAGGGGTTCTGTAGAGCCGGAGGCATGATGAACCTCGGTAGGGCTGGTGCGGAGCCGCTCAACAGTCTGCAGAATACTCAATGTCTCATCAACCAAGACTCGACGCAAAAGAGAATGCCCTTCCACCTGTTGATATCGGAAACACACATCGTCCTGGCCAGTATAAATCCGAAGAACGAGTGCCCAGGCCGTTTGCACCAAGAAGGGTGCTAGTTCTCCTGCAAGTAAAATTTGCAATTCTTCACTGCCTTTCACATCCACTTCAAGTGACAGGAGTTTGCCCTTGCTAAGTTCAAAGCCAGGTAGAAAGCAAGACATGTGACTTTCTGTGGAAGTCTCTGCAGTAAGAGATTTCCCCTGCTTCGTATCTATGTCTGCGTTCTTTGCCATAATTGGTTTCTCGTGATTAGATTGTTTGGAAAATTATGAATGTCCAATTCAAAATATGATCAGAACACTAAATTCTGGGGTTTGATTGCTTCTATGAGAAGGTTGTTGGGAAATCTTCTCAGCTATGGCTTCTATTGCCAGATTAGCGTTGCTCCTACGGGGGAGAATAGTTCTTGACAAAGATTCCTGGGATTCTGACCAATGTGAATCTGGGCAAAACAAACGACGTAGATGGTACTGGATGGAGTGCGGCCTACAATGTGTGATCTGGTATAATGACGCTGTGGCTGACTTCAAAGATCATGAAAGAGGGAGAGCTTTACCGAATCCTTGTTCAGTGAGGCAAGATGACCAGAAGTTTCAAAGATGATGACGCTGTTGGCGCCAATGCAAGCGACAATTCGAAGTTCCGTCATGACCTGCGGCGTGCAGAGTCTGAAAGCCCGTTAAGGAACTGCCTTTCTGAGCGATTCACGATCACGCCACATATTCAGCATGGTATATGATGTTCCGTACATGAAGCACTTGCGGAGTTGAGTATCTCTCTTCGGATCCAGAACGGTAACTCAGCTGGAGTCTGCCGATCATGTGCCGTGGTTGCACCCAGTGCACCCTTAACAGTCTCCAATGAGAAATTAGAGAATTAGGTGTAACCTTTGAGATCAGCCTCGACAATTTGGAATCCCACCGCGACCTCCTCGTTCGCTGACCACTCACACATGCTCGAGAACTTTGAACGAGATGTTCGGGCATGTCGGGACGGTCATAGAGGGGTAGGGTTGCTAGCTCGTCCACTTTCGGATGAAATTAGAAGCAGGAACAGTTCGCGAGCTGCACAATAGATTGCCCAAGCATTCTTGTTTCGCAAGAGAGCTGGAGCGTCTGGCCTTTGACCGCTGCTGTTGGGTCTCAGGAAAGATTGGTAAGTGTTGTTGGTGGAAGTTCGCCACGTATTTCCGTCTCCTGACAAGCGCTGAAGCGGCACGTCTAAACTATTTCGTTAGTAGTAATTGCGTGTTACCTTTGCGGATGTATTGGAATAGTTGCCAGGTCTTCCTTGGAGTTTTCGGATGCCATCATCACTCGGAGCTACAGCGCCATACAACCCCCTGGTACATTGCAGCCGTCCCAGGAACGCCGTGATGGTGAAGGATCACCTGCAGGCGTGGCCATGGAACCATTGCAATGCGGTTTGTGGCTAAATAGGCATATTGAGGTGAGGGTTTGAAGATGTTGTGTCGTGGCCATTCTGTTGGACGTTGATTTTGACAGCGGCGCTAGGACCGGCTAGGATGGGCTAGGGCAGGCTCGTTTAGCGGCTGAGCCATGCCTGTCTTATTTTTTCCTTCTACGCCTTCTGCCATGCCTCCTCCTCCCCGCCAACCGCCCTGCCTCCCATGCCATGCTATGCTTTGGCCATCCACCCATAAGTATCCATGACGGCTTCTGGCCCCGGACTTTGGCAACTGTCTCAAGCCACCCGCCGTTCGTCGATCATACCTTATTTCAGCCACCCGCCTCGATTTTGCGGGGAAACCCTCCCAAACTTTGTATTCTTATGGTTTCGCGGAATCGCCTCCGTATTCTCTCAGGTTTATTTTTATGTTTAATCAATCTTTTATTTCACAAGGGGAGTCGAGACCTTGAAGCAGAAGTATTTTTAGGGTCTTCACCTCTGTTGCTTTTTTGTTCGATCTGCCTAATGACAGCGTCGCAAGAAGTCACGATGTTTTTGAATTGCATTGTCTACAACACCGATATGTTGTGCCGCTGTTTTCCTTGACTTGGACGTGCTGCAAGGCTATCATACCTGCAGTCCTCGTCTTCCGACTGCCGCTTTCGGATGAAGGGTCTCCATGCATGTCTCCAATCTCAGCGATCCGTCGGACACTTTCTAACCTTGCTAAGGTTGCATCTGCTCGTGTTCCAAGTGCATGTTCCCGGATGTTCTGATTTGATTTCGAGCAATGGAACATTCCGGGATAGACTTGTCCGGGGGCAAGCGGTATGTTCTGAGACTCAGGGTCATTACACAATGCTTAACGGCCGTGCCTGATGCGTCACTTGCCGATCACAGATCTCCATCGCCATCTACCCTGAAGTCTTCCTTACAGCATTCACTGGCTCTGCCTCCATCTGATTTTGCACCAATCTGCCACGAGAGGAGGAAATCAAGGTCCAAAAGAATATGTCGCCATGCTCTGAAAATCCGAACGCTGCATACAGCACAGACCAGAGCAGGGACAACCCAAAAGATCTTGCACACTCGCCTTTGAGCTTCGACTTTCGGATCAGGGGTATATCACAAAGGTGCACAAGCTGATTCTTTCAACATCTTCTCGTCAACGGAAGAGTCTTAGCAGCCATGGACGACCAAGCCTCAGGATCGTGCAATTCTATCGACCGTACTTTTGGACCCCCTGCAAAAGGTTGTCGGGGCGGTTTCGACTTCACCTTGTTGTTTGAGGAGATCTTTCTGTCTTTAATTCCGATGGTGCTGGTGATCATTGTCACCTTTTTCCGCTTGCCCTACCTATTCAGAAGGCAGACGAAGGTTGTTTGGAGCTTGTGGCTACCAGCTAAACTGGTAAAACTTACACTTTCTACAATCAGAGTTACTCCCTTGTTTGGTAATTTGCGCTGACCTGTAAATCGGAAACAGATATTGTATGGCGCTTATGAAGTGATCACACTCCTTCTCATTGTCAATTTTTCGAATCCCAGTATACAAAAAACGAAGGCCTCGGTTCCCGCAACCGTCCTCACACTGATCGGCTACATCTTTCTTCCGATACTATCCTATGCCGAGCATGTCAAAACCATTCGACCGTCTTTGATCCTCAACGTATACCTACTTTTCTCGTTATTCTTTGATGGCGTTCGAGCTAGAACCCTTTGGTTGCGTTATAATGACAAGATTGCGGCCGACTTCACTGCTGGACTCGTTGTCAAGCTTATTCTGGTGCTACTGGAAGCAGTTGAAAAGACAGGCATACTCAGGCCAGAGTTTCGAGGGAACTCTCCGGAAGCCACCGGTGGGATATATAGTCGAAGCTTTTTCTGGTGGTTGAATGGTCTGTTTCGAGTAGGGTGGTCCAAGACGCTGTCTATTCCTGATCTTTTCTCTCTTGACAAGCACCTTGGCTCTCAATATTTGCGGAACTTACTTCAATCATCATGGCTCAAAGGTTGTTTTCTTCTCGGATGGCTGTTAGTCTCAAAGCTTACTATCACTTAGGATCTCCACAATCTCGCCATGGTCTCTTCTTCATGACCCTGAAGGTCTTGAAATGGCCCTTGCTATCTGCAGCTATTCCTAGGTTGACTTTGACTGCTCTGAACTTCTGTCAACCCTTTTTGCTTCATCGCGCAATAGATCTCTCGCAACAACCAATCGGCCATCAATCCACCAATGTCGGCTATGGCCTCATTGGCGCATATTTCTTGGTGTATGTGGGCATTGCTGTAAGTATAGTCTATCTCGAACAATTCAAAGTATTAATCCGATGTCAGGTGGTAACGGGACAATTTCAACATATCACCTATCAAGTCATCACTATGGTTCGAGGTGGCCTCATATCAATGCTCTACAGCAATGCAATGACCCTCAGTATCCATACTGCTGATCCATCTTCGTCCATGATTCTTATGAGTGCGGACATTGAGAGAATTACCACAGGCTGGCAGACAATTCATGAACTGTGGGCCAACGTCATCGAGGTGGGGCTTGCCATATACTTGCTGGAACAACAATTGGGTGCTGCTTGTGCCATTCCACTGGCAGTCGCTATTGGTATGTCTGCAGTTGGTACTTGTCCCTGGCTGTTCACTTATTAGATGTGCAGTTTCAATGGCTGGTTCTTTGGTAGCCACCGGCCTTGTCATGGCCCGGCAAGCAATGTGGCTCGAGGCCATTGAGAAGCGTATCTCAGCTACAACCGCCATGCTCAGTGCGATGAAGGGTGTGAAGATGTGCGGGCTCACAGATGTTCTGTCTAAGAATATTCACGACTTGAGAATTGACGAACTGAGAATTTCGAAGAAATTCAGAAAGCTTTTGATTTGGAACATGGGATTCAGTGAGGAGATTACGCGGCTCTGAGAACGATCAGCTGACGTTGATTCTAGCATACATTACTCCAGTTGCGGCACCGGTTCTCACCTTTGCTGTCTTTTCAGCTATTGCTCGAGGCCGTGGCAGTACTGATACGCTAGACACTGCCAGAGTGTTTACGTCTTTGTCACTCTTCACCCTGCTCTCAGATCCTCTTCAGAGCCTTATCATGACATTGGCAATGTTTATGAGCTCTGTTGGTTCATTTCAACGTATTCAGGATTTCTTGCAAAGAGACGTGCGTGTGGACAGCAGAATGAAACCAGAGTTCGGAGCCTTCATTCGTGGAAGCGGAGAGAGCAAGAAAGAAATCATACCAGAAGCCGATCTTGATGCTGGGAAGTCCCATCCAGCGACCCTCCATGAGAATGTCGGTAACTGGCCCGTTCTAGATCAAGACGCCATTGCAGTTGTTGATGGAGGATTTGGCTACATCGAGAACGAGCCACTTCTTTCTGAGATCACTATCTCCATTCCAAGGGTTAAGCTTACAATTATTGTTGGCCCTGTTGGGTGCGGCAAATCTATACTTCTGAAAGCTATTCTTGGAGAAGTACCCACTCTGTCTGGATCCGTTCAGCTGTCATCCTCGGAGATTGCATTTTGCGACCAAACACCATGGCACATGAATGGCACTGTTCAACAGAGCGTCATTGGTATTTCTGAACATCAAGAAGACTGGTATAGAACGGTGCTTCGCGCCTGTTCTTTGGAGGATGATTTGCAACAATTATCCAGAGGAGACCAAACTCCTGTTGGAAGCAAGGGTATTTCTCTATCCGGTGGTCAGAGTCAGCGAATTGTGAGTATGCTCCTCATGCTTTAAAGTTCTTTACATACTGAGACGCTCCAGTCCCTTGCAAGAGCCGTCTACGCCCGACGAGATATTGTCATTCTTGATGATATTCTTTGTGGCCTCGACATTGATACGGAAAACCGCATCTTCCATAATCTGCTGGGACCCAAAGGATTATTCAAGAAGCAGAATGTCACCGTGATAATGACATCCTCCTCGTGTAAGTCATGTCATCCATGCTCTCCAAGAATTCAATTACTCATCAATGCAGGCAAGCGTCTACCTTCTGCTGATCATATCATCGTCCTCGGTGATGATGGGAAGATCGCGCAGCAAGGAAGTTTCAGTGAACTTAACTCGCAAAGTGGATACGTCCAATCACTCAACATCTCACTTCTTGAGTCTGGCTCCAAGCCCAGAGATGATAGTGGCACCCAGAAGCAGAACTCGGATTTGGCATTATTGAGACCATCCGAAACTTCTATCGATGATATGAGCAGACGCACTGGAGATACATCCGTTTACTTGTTCTATATCAAAGCTGTTGGATGGTTGCCCACCTTTATCTTCATGGTGGCCATTTGTGCTTTCGTCTTCTGTTTAAGCTTTCCAAGTAAGTATCACAACCAAACCTCAATGCGAATTCTGACTCTCTACAGCAATTTGGGTGAAATGGTGGGCTGCTGCAAATGCCGTAGCTCCGAACCAGCGACTTGGATACTATCTCGGCATATATGCTCTCTTGGGGGTCTTTGCTCTTGTCTCTCTTATTATCAGCTGCTGGTAAGGTTTCTTTTTGGTTGTTCGCAAGTTGATTACTCACTCTGTTGTAGGCAATTAATCATTACCATGGTACCGAGGTCTGGAGAGAACTTTCATTTAGTCTTATTGAAAACTGTTTTGAAGTCAGTACCATACCTCAGCTTATATCCTGGAATTAATTTCTAATTATTCCAGCGCGCCAATGTCATTCTTTTCATCCACGGACACCGGCATCACGACCAATCGATTCAGTCAGGATCTTATGTTAATCGATATGGAGCTGCCACTCTCTGCCCTCAATACATTCGCTAGTGAGTATCTCTAAATGATCTCGCTTGGATAACTGCTCACACCTGTCAAGCATTCATTTTGTGCATTGCACAGATGATTCTCATCGGAGTGGCCTCTTTCTACGCCGCCATCTCCTTTCCAATCATACTCATTGCCATATATCTCATCCAAAAGTTTTATCTTCGAACCTCTCGCCAACTTCGACTCTTGGACCTTGAAACCAAGTCACCACTGTACTCACAATTCATGGAATGTCTCAGTGGGTTGGCTACTATTAGAGCCTTTGGATGGGAACATGCCATGGAAGAGAAGAATCTCAAGCTCCTAGACAACTCGCAAAAACCATTTTATTTGCTATTCGCCGTTCAAAGGTGGCTTACATTAGTCCTAGACCTCATCGTGGCAGCAGTCGCCGTGCTACTGATTGTTCTTGTTGTCGAACTTCGAGGAATCATTAGTCCAGGCTTTGTTGGTGTAGCGTTATTGAATATCATATTGTTCAGCCAAAGCATCAAAATGTTGATGACGTTCTGGACTAATCTGGAGACTCATATTGGGAGTATTGCCAGAATTAAATCCTTCACAAGTACAACCGCCTCAGAAAATCTTCCCGAGGAAGCGGGCATTCCTCATCCATCTTGGCCCACTCGTGGTGCAATTGAATTCAGAAATGTTTCAGCTGAGTATAGGTCAGTGTTGAAGAATTCAGCCAAAGGTCGCACTGACACCCCCAGAAATGATGAACCCGTACTCAAAAACGTGTCACTATCCATAGGAGCTGGAGAAAAGGTTGCCGTTTGTGGACGAACTGGAAGGTAAGATTACCCTTTCTATGGCATACCGATTCTTACATATTGCAGTGGCAAAACGTCTCTGGTGTTGAGCATCTTTCGTATGATTGAGATGAGTCACGGCAGCATCATCATCGACGATATGGACCTATCAACAGTTCCTAGGCAAGAAATTCGATCAAAAATCATTGGCGTGCCGCAGGACTCATATCTACTTGCTGGGAGTGTGCGTATGAACGTAGACCCTCATATAGCTAGCTCAGATGAAGCTATAAAGGACGTACTGAAAGCGGTCGAGCTATGGACCAGCATCAAGAGCAAAGGAGGCCTGGATGCAAGGATGGATGACATCTTCTTGTCACACGGCCAAAAACAACTTTTCTGCCTAGCACGTGCAATGCTGCGGCCAAGCACAATACTCATTCTTGATGAAGCAACAAGCAGGTAAGCCATTCATTTATCGAGGCACTTCATCAGCTCTGCTCACATTCATCAGTGTGGATTCGAAAACAGATGAGTTGATGCAGCGCATCATCCGAGAGAGATTTTCAAATCATACTATTATTGCTGTAGCCCATAAGTTGGATACAATCTTGGACTTTGATAAAGTTGTTCTGTTGGACAAAGGAGTGCTTGTTGAGTTTGATAGCCCCTACGAACTACTCGGCAATTCGTCTTCCGCATTCTTCAAGCTCTACCACAACTCACATACAGAAGAAGATGATTCAGAAAATCATTCCATGTGGTCTGGCGATGGTTTATTTTGAGCTATCATGGAGATAAAGCGGTTTACAATTGGTTGATAGGGGGAGGTTTTTGAGCAGGCTTCTAAAGAAGTGACGTTTGTGCTTGTTTCTCTTTTCTAACTCCAAGGCAACATCTTCAATTATCAATCTTCACAAAAACTAGAAACACATTCAAATATACACAGAATGACCTTTGACTCCCTTCATTTTGGCATATCCAAATTGCCATAGTGTTTTCGGCAATGGAAAACATGTGAGCTCTTCCTCCGGACTTCCCCACATTTAAATCCTGGCCAATCTCAGGCGACTTGGATATAATCATTTGAGCTTAATCTTCGTCATTCGTGCTTATTTTGGAGTGTTTTCAAATTGCCCCTTTCAAAAATTTGTAAGGAGCAGAGGATTCCCTGGTCCAAACCACCCCGCCAATAGAACGAGTCTAGCGAAGGATCATCTCTCTCTTTGAGCAAGTGGATTGAAGTCATTGCCTATCTTAACGCGGCAGACATGTAGTCAGCTAATGGAAATGAACCCGAGTTGCCGGGGAGTTACGGTATGGTCGCCGAGTTGACAAGGGCTCAGCGCGGAGTATCGGCATGGCAACAGAAAAGGATATGTTTTCCCTGGCTTCTAATCCTATGGACAGGGAGCCAACCTGGAAATGGCGATCTAAAAGCACGATGCAAGATGTATAGTTCACAGTGAAGATCTTGGTCAAAATGCGTTGTGCGCCCAGAGAAATCCAAGTGTGGATCATTTCTTCCAACCCGTCTGCTTCCTGCTTCCAGAAATTCTTAATAAGCATACCCACTCAACCTGACTAGCGGCCTGCAAGTAATAAACCGAGACGGGACGGGACGATTCGTCATATATGACAATTGGGCTAGCTGGGCCGAGTAAGCCAACGACGTTGGATTGATTTGTCCTGGTTAATGACGACCAGTTTGAGTGGCTACACGTGTGTTTCATCACTTGGACCTGGATTATTCAAATTCTGGTAGCGAACTTAAGTCAGTTACGTAAAAGTTTCTCTTGGGTTTGAAGCGCAATGACGATGATGTCTGTTGTGGCTTGCGTGAAATGCATCAACGTTGCAGTCGAGAGGTCGACAAATAAGGATGTATTTTCTCATGAAGGAGGCGTTAAGAAGTTGTGCCGTCGAAACCGTTATATAAGATGTGCGTTATACATGATTCAGATCGCGCCTTTTCCTGCAGCTGCCAAGTTTTGCGGGGAAAAAGGATCTTCACAGCCGCCACCTTGAAGCGAGGAACTCCAGCCGACAACACTGCGTCTGTTCCAGCCAACCAAATAGAGGAGCGCGGCTACGTATACTAAGACTAATATGGATTTGACGAGCACGGCATTTTGTATCAAGGTCATGTGCTCAAATACGATTGCTATTTGCGATCTGCCGGGTATCATTGAATGGATTTCTTGGTAGAACGCATGTCACATAACTTTCACAAAGAGCAAGGCGACATCGCAACGTGGTTGGAGGAGTCAATTGCGTGACCGTGGGAAGTCAGGTGCAGAATTGGGGAAACACAGCATCAAATAGTTCAAGGGAGGAATGCTTGACACCATCAGTGGCTTTGGTAACGCCTCAAGTGCGCAGAAAAGACCATCTTCGCCTCATGTCTTCTCGTGTTTGCTTGCTCACTCGAAAGAATATTACAAAACTCGCTATTGCTTCATAACAAGAGTCAAACTCATGTTTGTTTAGCTAGGGCTCTGCTACATGTGAAAACTTTCAACCTGGCGTCACTTGTCTCAAAACTTCAGTACAGTATCTGAAAACGATCGAAGTACCTGATCTGCGAGATTTTTCCGACTGCTTGCATGAACATGGAGCAATCAGGCATAAGTTGTGTAGCATTTAATCTGCAGGGCCGGATATTCGGACCCGGGTTCATGCACGATGAAAATCCAGAGACTGATAGATGTAACCTTACACAAGCATGGTTTGATGGTGGCTTGATCTGTATATAAATTACATCAGGGTCATACCTCGAAGATCATTGCCATTTTTGGACGGCATCACTTCTGCGAATCATACTCGAGTCCTTCGCTTATTGCATGGCTTTGGCGTGATGAGACTTCGATCGGCGAGCATTGGAGAGCGAAGAGAGAACGAAACAGCAATTTTCAATGACCAGTAAGGAAGGACTAGTGAGACTGGAGAGATGACACGTCATATGAGAGTCGTACCAGATTCTAAACTGTGCTGAGTGTACAGATCTTGCCGATTGCACGTGATTAGTAGCACGTGTGCACCAAAGAATCGAGAGCGGAAAGCTCCTGAAACGACTGCAATTTCATCAGATGAAGAAATTCACTTAAAACTTGTGCGCGAGTACATGTCTGAAATTTCACGATTACGCACTCTCAAATTGTCCTCAACGAGGTCAATACTTAAATCTGTGAAGAGGCACTTACCTCCATAATGAGTTAGACAGACTCGGCCTTCATCCTTTATATGCAGGCATAGCTTCTGGCAGGCTTGTATTCGGCAATGCAAGACAAGGAGTGTGCAAGTGTCAACATCAAACGTGGATCACCAAGAAAGCAATCAATCTTTTCGGCACCTGCCTGAAATGCGAACAATCCAAAGATTTGGCTCTCGGTAACGTTGATCACTTGACATTGGAGAAGCTCGGTCCCGGCTGTTTGCTGTGCGTTGGAATCGGTGGGTGAAGCTGGGAATCTTTTTCGAGGGAAGATCGTCGCCATGAGATGAGATGGATACCCATACAGCAACAAACTAGAAGTATGGATTGCAACATGTTGGGAGATGAGATTAGAAGTTCGTGCCTCTTCATCTAGTCTATTTGCACCCCGAAGATGATTGATAGAGGTACGTCTCATACATCTTGCATCAGTAGATATTCTGCTGACGTAAATGGATCGGAAGAACGGTGGCTGGGTTGAGGCCCCAGGAGGTTTCTATTTCACTTTCAAGAGGCGAAGGATCTTAAGCGGAGAGGAACTGAAAGCCTGGTTGCGCTGTTTTGCAGCAAATTCGAGGTCCATGCTTTCCCAGATATCTTTTTGTCAACAAATACCCGTTATCGCTGTACCTTTTGTGACGAAGTTTCGTAATATTGGATTTCCCCAGGGAACACACCCACCCACCGCAACAGATCTGCAATAAGCAGAGGTGAATAGCCGAGCAGGCAGAGTGAGTGCTCCATGCGAGATCGCATTCGCGAGAGCAATATTATCATCTTCACTGTCGGCCTCAATCGGATATAAAGACGCCATTAATTCAATGGGAGTTCATCCGACTGGACGTCTAGATCTGACGCTTTGATATAAATGAAAGCTCAAGCCGAAGGCTGTTCTCACTAGTGAAAGTTCCGACCCTCTGAGTTGTCGCACCTCACTTGTTGTTTATTATTATTCGCCTTCCATCCCGATCCCGTTTTCGATCCCAAATCCAGATCCTGCTCAAATTACAATCAACCTGGTGCAGGCTTCTCAATCTTCACTCCTTTGATACTTTTCCATTCCACAAGAAGAGCTCCTACCAAGGCCAAACAAGACACAATCGCGCCGACCTGGAATACTGAATCCAACGAGTTGTTGAAAGCTAGAATAACCGCGTCAGAATACTGCGGCCCGAAATATTCTTGAAGTTCCAAAGCACCCAAGCTAACGATCTGGCTTGGATCAAAACCTGGATGAGATGCCAAGAGGCCAGGAATCTTCGTTAAATTCTTAACCAACTTGTTGCTCAACACGCTTTGACCAACAGTAACAAAGATGGCACCTCCTAACGATTGACCAAAGAACTTCAGAGCGACACCAGTGGAAACATCTTTGGAAGGTAGAACGGTTTGAGCTGCCTACTCTGTTGATAAATGGCGGGAGCATATGGACATGTCATTCCAACCCTTTTTTCCTTTACTCTGCATACCATGTTCATAGGAGGATAGTCCAGTCATTTCATCCTCTGCCCTCTGCCGGAATATTCGTTACAGGCTATGTGAGCAAACTTCGTGTGACACAATTGGAACGTAACGCAGTTGGAAGCTCAACGCAATTGGAATTTGATGCAGCTGAAATGTAATGCAGTTGGGAATTGATGCAGCTGAAGTGTAACGTAGCTTGGAAGATAATGCAGTTGGAGTTTGATGCAGTGAGGATATGATGCAGCTAACATTAATGCAGTCAAAGATAACGCAGAATGGGAAAATAACGCATTTGAAAGATAATGCAGTGAGAATGTGATGCGGCTAATATTAATGCAAACAAAGATAGTGCAGAAATGTAATGCAGTGGGAAAATAACGCATTTGAAAGTTGGAGTTTAGTGCAGCGAGGATGTGATGCAGCTAACATTAATGCAGTCAAAGATAACGCAGAAATGTAATGCAGTGGGAAAATAACGCATTTGGGAGAACTTATTTAGGTAGGCAAAGGACAAGATATGCAGTTGGTCGAGGTGTTCTTGCAGCATGTGAAGGTCATCTCTTGTGGCCGTTCCAAAAAGCGATGTTCATGTAGCTAGGCACCACCAACCCGTTATCATTACTATGATTTCAGTGAACCTGATTACTCACAGGAGGCAAGAAATCTCGCTCGGCTGCATGTGAAAATTTCATTTCAGATGTCTAGTTCTTAGTAGATTCGTGCAAGATTTTACCCATAACTTTTGTGCCTTGCTATATTATTTGTCTATCTCAAGTTGTTGCATATGAACATCAAATCTAGAAGTTTATTACTTCTTCTTCTTCTTCTTCTTCTTCTTCCTATAGAAGAACTAGTCATTGCCTTCCCTTCAGCATTCTCGCTATGTCATTCTCTTCGATTAAGAATATGTTGGAAATCATCCACCCTACTATCAAAGGTAAATTGTTGAGCAGTTCTTTCCTACACGCCAATATTTATATCACTAAACATTACATTCTACTAAGGCAAGAATATCACAAGCTAACACTAAATCACTAAGATGGCTGGTTCCATGAGATCTCCGAGATGTGGCCTGGCCAGGCCATGACTCTCAAAGTCAAGAAGATCCTCCACCACGAGAAGTCTAAGTATCAGGATATCTTGATATTTGAATCCACCAACTATGGTGTTGTCCTCGTTCTCGATAATGTCATCCAATGCACGCAGCGTGATGAGTTCGCATACCAGGAGATGATTACACACTTGGCTCTAAATAGCCACCCTAATCCAAAGAAAGTCTTGGTTATTGGTGGTGGTGATGGGGGTGTGTTGCGCGAGGTTCTTAAGCACGATTGCATCGAGGAGGCTATTTTGTGTGATATTGATGAGGTGAACCATCTTTTTGTCAGACCCTGAAGTCATATATACTCACCTTTAATATCTAGGCTATTATCCGCCTCTCTAAGCAATACCTCGTTGGCATGTCCGTCTCATATAGACACCCCAAAGTCAAGGTCTACGTCAGAGACGGCTTTAGGTTCCTCGAAAGCTATAAGGACGAGTTTGATGTTATTATCACCGATTCTTCTGACCCTGAGGGGCCAGCTGAGAGCTTGTTCCAGAAGCCATACTTTAAGCTTCTTTTCGAAGCTCTGAAGGAGGGTGGCATTATTGCTACACAAGGTTGGTCCTTTTCCTTCCACCATATTCACTATCTTCGGGGGTGGGGGCCTTTCTTTTGGTTTTTGGAGCGAGTATTCCTTAAAGAGTGTGATTGTGTTATTGCAACCCTTTGTTAATGAATCAATGTCTAAGCTTCTGCTGGCGGCCGGGTACGCGCGACGGCCAGAAAAAAATCGCGAGTTCCGACGACGACGCCGCCCCGCATCACCACCACCCCGCCCTCGATTCGCTCGCAGATAGGGGCAATCCCTTGATTGAGTCGCAAGCAATCTTTCTCGAGCTACTCCGAAGTTCAGAAAGTAAATAATAAGAAAGTTACCCGATCCGGTAATTGTTTATATTACATGATAGATTTTATAATATATTCGAAATCTAGAATATTAAAGCATAAAAATTATAATTATTATTAAACTAATAATAATTTTGTTTTTTATCGAAAAAAAGTTTAAAAATAATATATTTTTTTTATAAAACGTAACTTTCGAAAAAAGTAATTATTTATATTATATAATTAATATTTTATTTTTATTTGTGACGGGTTGAGACCCGTGCGAAGACTTGGTGCCCAAAGGCCTAAGGCACCTGCGTTGCTATTAGCAACTAAAGGATACGTGGCCAGAACAATGTATATAATACCGCACGAGAGTCTAAGAGTAGACTTTTCTCTTTAGTTTGTTCTTGTATTTAGGGAAACCATTTGCTTGAGCATAGCACTGCCGACCTGTGACATTAGAACAAACTCACTTTACTCGATCAAACTGTCTTAATAGTTCATTGTACGCCTATCGATTAAGTCGTACGAGATGATGAACTTAGACACACCGGAGATTTCGGAAACAGCAAGCCAAGCATCTAGAGGGATGACGGACGAGGTTCCATCTTGGGCAGAGCACCTTCTTTAACGAATGGAAGCTATCGAGCTTCGTACGAGAGAATTGGCGAGAATCGCCACGCTAGTATCGACGGTCATGCCAAATGTGGCACAATTGACTTCGAACGCTGAGGCGCAGAGTGCGTCTACCCCGGCATTAGGGATGCCAAATCCGATACAGAATCCAAAAGGTCGATCGAACACTCAGAGTGGAGCTCAATCGACGATGGACGATTTGCTTGGACTATTGCGTACGGAACGACAACGCAAACGACTACCCGACCCCGAGATGTTTGAGGGATCAAGATCAGGGTTTCGACCATAGCTAGACCAGATCCGGGCGAAGCTTGCGGTCGACATAAGCCATAAGCCTCACGACGTACGATTTTGGTACGTCCATAGCCGACTTAAGGGCGCTGCCCTAGGACAAGTCACCCCTTGGGTTTCAGCCCAATCAACAGCTAAGGCACCGATCGATGAACAAGCCTTAGAAGGAATCTTTATACAACTTCGGAACGCGTTCGACGACCCAGAATCCGTGGAACGAGCCGTACGGAAGCTGGATACTCTTCAACAAGGCACCCAATCGTTTTCGAAGTATTTGGCCCGTTTGAGCGAACGCTACTTGAAGCCGGAGGCCTTTCGTGGGACGACACAGTAAAAAAAGCGTTCCTAACTCGAGGACTTTCAATGGATATTCGACGAACACTCCTAGCAACCCCAACACTAGTATCGTACGTGGATTACTGTGCTCAATTGCATATGGTGAGCCGGAATTTGGAATCTATGCGTCTAAAGGAAAAGGCGAGCTAGAGACCGACTTTCCAACCGAAAGACAACCCACCAGCAGCTACTAATCGAATGGAATGGGAGCCGACAAAGACAACCCAACTAGCTGCCGTACGAAAGGGGAGGACAAAGAGCACTCAAGGACTAGAGGACGCAAAAAAGTCGAAGAAGGAGAAGCGCACTTGTTACAAGTGTGGAAAAGCTGGACACATCGTACGAGACTGCGAGGAGTCGTACGAAGAAGAATCTTCACAAAAGGTGTCCCTCTCGGCTACAAAGACTAAGAAAGCAGAGCTATCGTCATCCGAGGAAGAGGATAGCGACTCGGAAAACGAGTAGCTCCGTGCCAAAAGCGCGGTACGGAGCAAAGAAAGGATGTAGTACGGGATTGGGAGGAATTTGAACCTTCGATGGATGAGCCACCATTTCTAATATCAACTTTAGTGAATAGAGAAGCCTTTGCCAAAACTTTGGTCGACTTAGGGTGCTTATCGTACGGAGTGATCGACTCTCGATTTGCCCGGAAACATAATTTGATGCGTATAAAGATTACTCCGCGAGAGCTAGTTGGGGTAGGCGACCAAAAAGCGGGAAAAATAGAGGAAGTGGCCGTCGTACGAACCGACATCGATGGGTGCATTGAGGAGAAAGCGTTCTTTTATGTAGCACCGAAACTGGCATCGTACGATTTGATCTTAGGATTGCCATAGATGCGGAAGAACCAAGTGCTTTTGAGTGCAGACCGTTTGTCTTTGGTAATCGGAAGCCAAAAGACAAGCGTACAGAACTAGAATGCAAGCATTACAACTGTTAAGTTGAACCTAGTCTAAGTCTTAGCTACAGCGTTCGTACGAAGCACGAGAAGGAAGCACGTAGGCGGGCAAGCGGAGATTTTCTCTACTACGATGGCAGATATCGAAAAGGCTCTTACGGTGAAAAAGGAGACTAATCCTCGCACAAAACTACCATCGCACTATTTCGAGTTTTTAAAGGCGTTTGATCGAGCAAAGGCAGAGAAGCTTCCGCCTCTTCGAGGCCCCGGCGTAGACCATGCGATCGAGCTAGAAAAGGTTAATGAGAAAGAGCCAGCTATACCTTGGGGTCCCTTATACAGTATGTCACGAGATGAGCTTGTAGTGCTTCGAAAAACGCTGACTAGCTTGCTCGACAAGCAGTTTATTCGAGTAAGCAATTCACCGGCTGCTGCGCCGGTTCTCTTCGTACGGAAGCCAGGAGGTGGGTTACGATTTTGCGTAGACTACCGAGCCTTGAACCGGATTTCAAGGAAAGACCGATATCCGTTGCCACTAATACAAGAGACGCTTCGTACGATCGGTAAAGCCAAGTGGTTCACGAAGTTTGATGTAATCGCGGCTTTTTATAAGATTCGGGTTGCAAAGGGAGATGAATGGAAGATAGCCTTTCGTACGAGGTACGGGCTATATGAATGGCTAGTAACGCCGTTCGGGTTAGCTAACGCGCCTAGTACGTTTCAAAAGTACATTAATTGGGCGTTATGAGAGTACTTGGACGAATTCTGCTCGGCGTATGTAGACGACGTTCTTGTGTACTCGGAAGGGTCATTGGCTGAGCATAGAGAGCACGTACGGAAGGTACTCCGTCGATTACAAGATGCAGGACTGCAATTGGATATTAATAAGTGCGAGTTCGAGGTAAAGACGACCAAATACCTCGGGTTTGTAATAGAGGCTGGAGTGGGCGTACGAATGGACCCTCAAAAGGTGCAAACCATTCTAAGCTAGGAAGCCCCTCGATCGGTAAAAGGAGTCCAGAGCTTTATTGGATTCGCGAACTTTTATAGGAAGTTTATCTAAGGGTTCTCGAAGGTCGTACGACCGATAATAGGCCTGGCAAAAAAGGATACCGCGTTCGTTTGGACAGACGAAGCTAATCGAGCCTTCGTACAGCTAAAGAAGCTATTCACCGAAGATCCGGTATTGGCCCCGTTCGATGCGGACCGAACAACGATTGTGGAGACGGACTCGTTAGGCTAGTGCGTCGGAGGGACGTTAATGCAATACGGAGATGATGGATTACTTCGACTGTGTGCATACTTCTCGAAGAAGAACTCTCCGGCCGAGTGCAACTACGAGATTTACGATAAAGAAATGTTAGCGATCGTACGATGCTTGGATAAGTGGGACGCGGAACTTCGTAGCGTGAGAGACTTCCAAATTCGAACAGATCATCGAAACCTAGAATACTTTATGACAGTTCGAAAGCTTACGGAACGCCAAATACGATGGTCTCTTGCTCTCTCTCGGTACAACTTCACAATCCAGTATGTCCCAGGCCGTACGAACGTGAGGGCCGATGCCCTTTCGAGGAGGGAGCAAGACTTGCCCGTTTCTCTCTCGGACGAGAGACTTAAGCATCGTTATATGTAATTGCTAAAGCCAAAGATGTTTGCTCCCCCAAGGAAGGTCGAAGCTAGACAAAAGGTCCAAGCTATGCCGGTGGAGACGACCGAACGAGTAGACTTGCAAAGTTTATAGGAGAATGCCTGTGAAGCAAACACCTCGTACGGCAAGATAGTGGAGTCGATCGAGAATGGAAAGCGTGTGTTCCCAACCGAGCTCCGAGTGAAGGTATCTATCTCAGAGTGTGAAATAGACGCCTAGTGCCGACTACTATTCCGAGGAAGACGCTGGGTTCCTAAGTCGGAACCTCTCCGTACGGGACTTATCCAAGAGACCCACGATTCGATGATGGCGGGCCACCCTGGCCGAGAAGCTACGGTTGCCTTAATGATAAGACAGTTCTTTTGGCCAGGCATGCTACAAGACATTAGACGGTTTGTACGGAACTATGATAGCTGTCGGAAGAAGCAAGCCTGGAGGGATCGGCGCAATGGATTTTTAAAGCCTTTACCTATCCCAGAGAGGATATGGAGTGAGATCTCTATAGATTTCATTACAGAGCTTCCGCTGAGCCAAGAGTGTACGAACTTGCTTGTGATCACAGACAGATTAAGCAAAGGTGTGATCCTAGAGCCATGCTCTACTCTTACTGCTAAAGCAGTAGCAAAAACGTTCGTACGGATCTTTTACCGCCACCATAGACTACCGAAAGCAATCGTCTCGGACCGAGGAACTAATTCACATCGGCTTTGTGGGCACGGGTGTGCTAGTTGCTCAAGATCGTACGGAGACTATCGACAGCGTTTAGCCCTAAGACCGATGGGTCAACGGAAAGGATGAACTAAGATGTGGAAGCGTACGTACGGACGTACGTGGATTACGCACAGAGCAATTGGGCATCTCTTATGCCTATCGCAGAACTTGCTCTGAATAACCACGACTCGGGAAGCACGGGAGTGAGCCCCTTCTTCCTTACACACGGATATCATGTGCTCCCAGTGCAATTCGACGATGTAGAGAACCCCGTACGAGGAACCGTAAGCCCGATCCAGCGTGGAGAGAGCATTGTACGGAAGCTAAGAGACGCTTGTGAATGGGCCCAAGCATCTATAGCAGTAGCTCAGCAAGTCCAAGAGGATGCGGCCAACCGGACGGGACAACAAGCACCAAGCTTCAAAGTGGGAGACAAGGTCTGGCTCAATCTAGAGCATATTCGTACGAAGCGACCGTCAAAGAAGTTTGACTCGAAGAATGCTAAGTACACGGTGATCGAGGGGGTTAGGGTTAGGAGTTCATATTTGCTATCTTCGACGCTGATAACTAGCTACATATTGAAGGTTGCCTTGGTGGTATTCCGACTGCAGTGCTTTTCCATCCAGACAACAACTACATCTCATACAAGATCCTCAGCTCCCATCGATATTTCCCAGCATAATCAGGCAAACCGCAAGTTTGTCCAATCCCAGTACGTCATTGTCAGCCCGTAGTGGTCCGGTGTTGCCGCTGGCGGAAAGAATAGTAACGTCTCCAGATACAGCCCATGTCCATGAGGGTACTATCCAGCACCACCTGTAGATCCGTCTACTACCCGCCCGAGAGTCAGTCAGGAAGAGCGATGTTCCCAATCATCTGACAGAGAGGAGGCATATCAGATAACCCAGTCCTATCCAGAAACCGAGCCCTAAGAACCCGCCCATTAATCCACCCTCTCATTCTGTGGAGTCGAGTGCCCATGCATAGCCAGTCCCTTTTGATTCGGTTTTGCTACCCATGGTCCCACAAGACAGGAGTTCCACGTTTTCTACGGCGGTGTGTCCTCCGTGAGATTGTGTATAACAGCCGTCCCTCGAGCAGCTCAAACGAAGGCCATCCGAGTCTAACTGTCTTCACCTAGGTTTTCTCCTTCCTGCGGCCTGTTTCCTCAGTGCACGTCCTCACCACCTCCACAGCCTCCCGTTTTGTCCCACGGTCTTGGATTCTCGCTGCTGGAACCAAGACAACTCTATTGAACCAGAGCGTGACCGTCTACTCTAGGGACGTCCACCCTTTTCGACAGACAGAGTGTGCTGATAATGTTGAATTCCAGCTCTCGGGGCTCAACCCGGGTCGTATTGCTCGTCTCAACCAAGACGACAGAGTAGAGAGATGCCACTGCCCCACTTATCGAGACTTCCTACTCTCCCAATCCAGCGATTTTACAAGCCCTTCGAGGCTATCCCATGACATCCCTCCTCACGTCCTCTGCTGACCGGAGCATATTTCGTCGTGCTTAGGACTGATATTCCTTCCCCCCTCCCCACAGCTAATATCATCTACTTCTTCGAGCCGTTACGCATGCTTAGGCACGAACAGTTACGCATGTTCAGGCAAGAGAATCATATGCCACCCATACTCGATCCCCTTAGTTAGCTGAGTTTAACGACATCCTAGGTCAAATTGGTTGGTTGAGCGCGCTCCAAACTGTACTAGTGGGGCGCTAATAGGGCGTCGCTCTTTTTGCGATGTGCAACAAAAGACTTTCTACGTATGAGGTCATATCAGAAGCTAATAGAGAAAACTAGGCTAACCCTAAAGTGTCTATCGTTTGGGTTGCTTTGTAAACCTGCCGCAGCTGCTTCTGGATCTCTGACAAGATGAAGATCACGTGTTGTAGCCGACCCGAATTGAGCAGATAATCGATATCTGTAAACTTGCACCCGAAAAAGGGCAGCTCAGATTTCATCTCTTGCTTTAAGCGTTGCTCGATTCGAGTTAACCGAAAGGGATGGTTTAATGCTGGGCAGGTCTCATGGCCTCGATGAAATCGGACTTCTGGGTCACATGCACAGACGGCATTAAACATAAAGTTCCTCCGGTGGTATTGGAGAAGCATGCTCTGTGCTGAGACCGGAGTAGCTAACGAGATATCGGCCAAGAGTAAGCCTGGGACTTTGCGACTCTCCATCGGGATAAGGGAGGTAAGATGAGAGCTGAGAGATTCTGTGTGGATGGTGTGATGCAGCTCTGCGCGAAGGAAGCGGGCGAGGGCAATTCGGACGGTGGGTTGGAAGTTGGTCGTCTCTTTGAAGCGGGAGTAGCCTGGATCATTCCCAAGATGGTAAGTAAAGGACTAGAGACTAGAGTAAGAGTGTGATTGCCCGAGGAGTTGCTTGAGAGGGCATTCGGGATTCATCTGCTCTAAGATCATCTGATAAGCTGTGCTCAAGCGCTCAAACCGTCGTCCTGGTGTTGACAGACCGCAGAGGTTGGCTGTGACCAGATGCCGGCTGTCTGAGGTATTGGAAATCCACGCTATGAGATCTTTGAACCCTAAACAGGCACAATGAAATGCTTCTTGATGTTGGGGATGCTCTTTGGCCTATGCCCACACTAGTGGAGCACTGTATTCAAATATCGGTGTAAGGAATTGCTTGTAGATCCGAAGTCGATGTGCCGGACCCCAGGAGTTACTCTGAACTCCTAGCCAGTGTGCTCGCCCCACCGCAGCCTGGATCCGTTGATCGAGGTACTGTTGGAAGTCGATCCCGTTTGCGGTCACCGGAAACCCAAGGTAGGTGTACGACTCTGCTCTCGGGATCTCCTGCCCGTAAACGAGAAGGGAGGGAAGGTCCGATCGGGAAGTGACGACGGTACACTTGGCCGGGTTGAGGAAGATGGCATTTTCTACCGTTTAGTCCTCCACGACTCGCAATAGCTGGGCCAGATCGGTCTTGGAGTGGGTAATAATCACGCTATCGTCGGCGTAGAAGAGGCAGAGAGGAATCCCCGGTGTGTGGGTATTGACCTAGTATAGTAAATCATCCACAAAGAGATTAAAGAGCTACGGTGAGAGTGGTGAGCCTTGAAAGACCCCCCGTGACCGCGAGAACTAGTCGGTGACTCGTCTATTGATCAGAATCCGGGACTTAAGGTTAAGAAACATTAGGTCTTGGATCAAGAGGCGGAGCGTTCCTAGACATCCTCTCGCGGCTAACTTGGCGTCTAGCTGCTGGTGGTCGATGACATCAAAGGCTGATTTGAAGTCGAGGAAGACGGCCGTCGATTGTGCTTTGGACGAGAGGAGGGCGTGAACTATAGCGGCGTTGCTATATGTGGAGTAGCTCCGACGGAATCCTGCTTGAGCCGGGTGGAGTTGGGCCTACGGTTGGCCTTGGGCCTGGAGAAGGAGCAGTCGTTCAAACACCTTTCGGAAGATGCAGATGATCGAGATTGGGCGGAGGTTCTGGGCATCTCGTTTCCGATTGACGTCTTTTGTTAAGAGATAGATCTCCGATTCGTTCCAAGCTCGCGGCGTCTTCCCTTCACGGAGGCATCGGTTGTAGAGTTCTTGTAGCCACGTGATAATAGCCGTCTCCTAGACTGCTTTCAGGAATCGGATATGCGTGCCATCTGCCCCACAGCTCTTCTCCGCTTCTTGTTCTTGGATCTCCTTGACCACTTGCTCTCTCGTCTACGAGATTACCTCTTCCGAGCTCACTTGCGTCGGCTGAGCTTGAAATGGACGTCCCGACCAGCGTTCTTGGAAGATGGCCAGGTTCTCTGCTATTGCATCCATCCCTCGGCTCAAAGCTTCTGGGGTGGGAAAGATCACATCATTCTCCTCTAACGACTAGCACGCTTGCTTGTACAAGCGAATGCTTGCTGTGACCGTCTGCTCGCGAACGGAGGGTTTGTGGGTTTGAGGAGTCCGGTTCTGCTGTGGTGTAGAAAGACTAATCGTCTTCTCTTGGATCTGTTGACAAAATTCGACTAGCTTCGTATTCATCTCATCGATGTTATCACTTGCCGAGAATAGTCGGCTTGAGCGACGGATCAAGTCGATTATTGCATCTCTCACGTGTGACTTGGAGAGCTGGCTGACGCGAAAGCGTTTGATGCTTGGAACGAAAGCCTCTCCCTGATCTCGGCGTCCGAAGGTGAGGCAGAGGGTGTATTTGTAGTCGGTCTTGATCTTTCGGCTTGTGTTGTTCAATAGCTCGAGCGTCGACACTTGGCTTGACCGGACAAAGCAGTGATCGGTGGTGAGTTTTTCTGTTCCTCGGACGGGCTTGAGATGTTAGTAATCGGTCTCCGTAAGGAAGTCTGTCCAGATTTGAAGACGCTCCGGTGGGCTTGCTTCTCCGGCTTAGTAGAGGGGATCTCGGAAACGTGTGTTAATGTCTCCCACGATTACGGTTGAGGATTTGAGAGAATCGAGAAGTGACGCGAGCGTGTTGGAGTCGAGGGTTGTTGGTGGGAAATACACCCTTGAGAAGGAATGCTTGCCTCGATAAAATGTGAGGCTATGTTCTGTGATATCGACCTTCTCCACCTTGCTTCGAGCATGATAAGATCCCAAGAGGTAAATCTCGCCTCGCTGTCTACCTTGGAGGTTTTTGGTTGTCAGATTTGTCGAGGCAATAAATCGACGATCCCGACAGTAGATGTGATGGTTTACAAACCACGTCTCCGCGATGAAGAGGTAATCGAAGCGCTAGCTGAGAAGGATATGGCAGGCTTCCCATAAAGCGAGAGAAAGGCCTCGAACGTTGATGTACCCAATGCGGAGATTCATGTTCGTTCGGAGCATTTCAGCTCAGGGTTGGGGGCAGATTGGTTTAAGAGGGCCTGAAAATTGGAATAGACCCCGTCCGTTCTTGCTTGCTGTCGGATGGCTCGCCGTTTTTCAGTTGCTGTTGCGGGGTCTGCTCTAGCTTGCTTGAACTGCTGTACTAATTCTCTGGCTCGATTGATAGGATCGAACGGGCGATCTGGAGGTGGTGAGACCGGAGAGCTAGATGGGATGTCGGTTGGCGGGGCAGGATCGTATGAGCGTTTAAACACCGCACTTCTCACGTATACCTTGACTGGGCTAGTAGATTTCGACTGGGGTTCAGGTTTAGGCATCGAGGAGCTCAGATCTACGTTGATTGGCTTGGTCGAATCTGAGGACGGGTTCGGTGGTGAAGAGCTGAGCTCGTCCTCTGGGTATGTGCAGGGGATGCTGGCATCGGAGGAAAAGATGTGCTTTGGGGCTAGGCTTGGCGAGGACCATGATGGTGTTTCGCACGAAGGCGTTGGTTGGGGTGGGCTGGACGAGGTGAGGAAGATGGTAAGCATTCGGTGCTGCTCCTGCCAGGTCTTACTCATCTCAATCATTGACTCGAGGTGTTGCAGGGTTGATTGCAAGGACGATGTGTTAGGTCCACTGCTCTCTCGTCTCTCCTGGGCCTGGGAGTGGCGGGTCGTCTTGTCCAGAAATGGGAGTTCTTCGTCCGCCTTTCGTTTCCTCGGAAGGGTCTGGGATCCCAGGCTTGACGCAGGTGTAGTGTGTGTTGTGCCTAGGTTACAGTATCCTTGCAGAGCCGCATACTCCTCCTGTTCTGGTGGGAAATGTTGATAAACACGTTCTAGGACTTCGGCAAACTGTGTCTAGTCTAGTTGTTTTCTGGCCAGGTCGATGTACTCGGTGCATGTCGCTCGACCACATGTGCCCGAGGCACTCCTCGAGTTGGAGCGCTAGCACGTCCACATTCGGCGTGGTTGCCCATCCTTGCCTCCCTTACCTGCTTCATCCTTGATAAATCTAGGTTTAAGAGGGTTCCCAACACAGTTTGGGCAGCGGATCTTAAATTTGAATGAGTTGAAGAGGGCGTCAGCTAGGTGGAATTTGCCGCCTTCGAGTACGAATTGAGGTAGACGTGAACGGTTCATTGGATTTGTGAAATGACAAATAGAAGAATAGAAGAATAGTAGCGTAGATGAGAAGAATTAAGGAGAGGTATGCAGTAGAGTTATATAAGTATTTTAGCTACCGTCTTACCTCGAGAGTTGGCACTTACTTCTAGAAGGTCATTTCAAAACAAGGTAAATTTAATATCAAATCTAGTCGAACGAGGAGATTTATTTCCTATGGCCCTAGGGCTTTAATAATCGTCGGGGCTAGGATTTGAGAGCAATCTCCCTAAGACTGATTATAAGCCTGAAGACTGAGGCAGGCTGTGGTAATCCTAGTCTAGCGTGCCGCATTTCAAGGGGAACGCGGCACGCTAGACCAGGGTAAACGAGGTGGCTGGCATCCTTCTCTCGACGACTACTCTTAAAATGACGCTCTAGCTTTCTTTAATCTTAAGCATAAAAGGGTGCGAGGAAATAAATCATTCGAATATTATGAAGGCAGTGTCTTTAGTAAGATTAAAAGGCTGCTTACTTCCCGGTTCCGAAGGATAATCATTCTCGTATAAGAATAATCCATTCCTCCCATATTACTTCCTCTTCTTTTTCTCTTCTTTTACATCCCCAAACCTCTTATCTTTACATCTATCACTATATCACTTCCGCGAGATGTTAGCTATTAAAAACCTCGAATCCAGCATCCTTGCTCCCAATATCCGGGAGGCTTTACGGACCCTTTTTAGTTAGATCAACGAACTATACTTGGATCTTCCAAGCACTTCCGATGGCCTTGGGGTTTGCATTAGCACTAGCTATGCCGATTTTCGTCGTTATATCGAGACTAAGCATCAAGAGAAGTTGGATTCTCAGCCCAAAGTCCCCGCCAATTACCGCCTTGGTGGTGGTCGACGAAGGCTTCCAGACGAGCCTAGCCGTCGGGATATGGCTACTCAAACCGAACCTCGTCGTGAACCTCTTCCCACTCAGCCGAACCCTAGGCCTGGAACTCCGACGAATACGGCGCACATCGAATCGGCACCCGAAACTAGGACTTGCCGACGCCGGGCTGTACGGAGGCCCTTCCTCTCACGCGTGATCTGCTCATCTAGTAGCGATACCGAGACTAGCGCTAGAGCAGCCACGGGAAGGACCCCCCAACGATCTATTCCTCATTGTAGTCCCGTCAAGAGCCAAGGTTCGTCGTGTTCTCTGTCCGATATCTAAGGTTACACTAAAAAGTGATCAAGATCCCCACTAGCCGCTCCTGCTACATCTAGTCCATGTGCTTGGGAAAAGGCAATTAGTAGACTAGTTGGCCCCATCTACGGTCCTGAGGATCTTATATGCGGATGGGTCACCAAGCGGAAGTCGAAGCGAAAAGCTAGCTTCAGTCTACAATGGCCTGCTAAGAGACTTGTAATAGACCCTGGTAGTAGGCCGAACTCGAGCCCCGAATTCTCAGATGCCGATGATAAGGATGACGAGAACTAACTACGCGTGGAGGTAGAGCAGAGCGATGATGGCGCATGTAAGGCTAATAATGCCGCTCCTTCTACCATTCCGTCCGACCATGGGACAGACGTGATTGTCAGCTCGATCGAGGGGGTCGAAGGGAACGTTCCGGGTTCGAAACCAACGTCGATTCCTGTGATCCCATCCTCCCAAGACTCTGCATCTTCTCAAAGCGGGTCAGATAGCTAGAACCCGATCGCTACAGTTGAGACGGATGCCAAAGCTGTCCTCTACTAGCACGAAGTTGCAACTGGCATCTAAGTCTCTTAAAAACACCGAGGTGCGATCATTAGTCAAAGTTTGGCATTGGGAGGACGCGATGCTCTCGAGAATTTTCGTCAGGCTTGTTCTTATTGGCGGCGAGACTACGCGGCTCACACCTCTCACGGCGTTGCGCAAAGGGGCTCGGCCACAGAGCGACACCCCGCCCTAGAGCGGTTCTCTTGTGCCTACTATGCTGCTACCAACACGACGCTTCGCCGTGCTGTCCTAGATGTTCTTCACCGGATCAACCTTGCGTATCTATACGAAGTTTACCTCGAGACCCTAGAAGCCCTATCACGCTTCTCGCTCCAACAAAACTCGCCGGGATCGAATACGAGTTGTCGAGTCCGGGATGTCTTTGATGAGGATGTTCGCGATATTGCCAAGGATCAGATGTTCTAGGCATGCTATCCGGTCCATGCGGGCAAGCCACGTTATGGCATCGACAAGACGTTTCGGGCAACGCTGGCTAATGCGGAGAAGTGGCATATGCTGCGAGAGGAATTTAGTATCGGGATACTTACACTCGTTCCACAAGGATCTAACAACTAGTTTGAGAAACTCCCGCTCACATATCTACCGGTTTACTTTTACCTAATCCGCGCTCTAAACCCTGCTGCCGTCTCGATGGGAGAGATCATCTCGGACCGGGTTTCTGCTTCGTGGAAAGGCGAGGCTCCTCCTAAGCAGCTCTTACGTCTCGAGCATTTGGAAACAATTGACGAAATCCCTCTTCAAGCCAATCCTTTAAAGCTTCTTGAAGAGATCAATGTGGGCTGTATTACCGATGGTAGTAGCGGATTAGGCAAGTCGCAGGCAAGAAGAGCGGTGACGATGCTAGCTAATATGGATGAGAATAATATTGCTGTTTTGGATGCTGTCTTTTCATCTGGAGTAGGGCCGTCTCAGGGGGGAGATGAATACCCACTCTCATCTGGTTTTTATAATAGCGTTGATTTTTCTCGAGGGGTTATAGGTAGTTAAAGAGGTCTATTTTGGGATGAAATATATTCCAAAGACTAGGCATATCACGTGAATTTAAATGGGAACTTTCCAATAAAACGAAGCTTTATATTTTTGGCGTTATAGGATTATTTTTGTTGCACATCGCTATTTCATAAGGGGAGTTTCCCTTAGTCACTTTTCCCTTGGACCCTTTTCCCTTGGCCACTCTCCACCGGCCACCTTTCATTGGCCCAAGGAACAGCCAGGGATATACGCCCTTTTGGAGGACTGCAAACAAAACATATAAGCAACTACTGTCCCCACCCAAATTTCCTGCCCTTTTTCGACCTCCACACACGCTTTTTGCAGATAAGAACGATCAGATCATCCCCCCATTACTCGCTACAACACGTCATGGCTTCCGATTGGCCGCCCTCGACTGCGCCCTCGATTACGCCCTTAATGCCTTCGTTTTCGAACACATTACCAAAAGAGCAATTTCAAGCTAGCCAAATGAATGCAAAGCCTGCGCCCAGCCAGTTATATGACATGGCTGGAGCCAGGTAAGGATTTTTTTTTTAATTCACATGACTAACACTTTATGCGAGTAGCCGTCTTAGTGCCCCCGATCCCTATCCTACTATAGCAAGCAATCCGTCCTTGGCTCCCCTTCCTATTGACGGCAACTTATCTCTTGCCGAGGATTTATTCCAACCCCTTGACCCATCCTTGAACCCAACTTTTGTCCCAGCTTTCGACCCAGCCTTCGACCCAGCCTTCTTCGACAAGCTGCACGAGGGTCGCTATTGGTGCGAAGTGCTCGGATGCTTATCATCTTTTACACGTAAGGCTGACCGAGATCGACATGTGCGATCTTGGCACAACTGTGCTACTCTGCACTTCTGCCCTGTTCCTGGATGCAAGAAGAGCCTTGGGAAGCCGTATAGTCGCAAAGACAAGCTGCAAGAGCATATGCAGAAGAAGCATCCCGCTCCGCCACAGGCATAAGAGAGGAAGTGTGACATCACAACCTTGCATCTGCTGAGTCAATATATAGCATATTTCCTTGGAGGGGAGGAGGCATGCTTATTTTGGCAGGTTGGTGAATGCTGGATGACGAGTAAACGGTGTAACTAGAATACAAGAGTTAATTCATACCACTTTTTAGCTAGCTGTGAAATTATTATGTGATTATCTTTAAAGTCGCGGCCGTATATCAAAAAGGTGAAGTATTATATACTATTTATTATATTACATGTGTGAAGGAGCCATCTTACGGCGTGTCTCCAAGGCTAGCCGTTTTATTTTTGCCTGGCGCCGCCTCTGCCCATGACGCTGTGCTCGTGCTTAACGCCATACTCCATACCGTCGGTCGTAGCCCTCCTCTGCTTTCGAGCGCGAGTATCGACTGTGATGCGGTCGTGGAGGAATTTATATCGCCGGTCCAAGTACTTATACTGCTCTTCCCTCACTGACCCTAACAGTATTTTACATTGCATATACTAGAATATGCATTTTCTTTGGTAAGGCTCGCTAATAGCACTGGCCAAGTAGTGGTCTGTGTTAATAAATGTATTTACTAGAATATGCATTCTAGAGTTATGGTTTATTATACTTAATTCTCACAAACTAATTGATTTTAAGATGTCTACCGAGTCTATACAACTACTACCGCCACTGCCCGAAGTGTTAAGGCTATGGCTAACATTAAATACAAAGTTCTACGTGATCATTTGCCACTTTGCTAGCTGCCGGCAAGCTCTAAGTCTAGGCGCGATCAGCACCCACTTATGTAATAAACACCAAGTCAGACTCGAATCTCGATAGCAGCTTGTAGAGTATCTCAAGCAGTGGTAGTGGTAGTATGATTTCCGTAGCGTGCTACTGCCATTGGACGGGTCTCTGCCCCAGCCAGTCCTCCCAATAGTCGACGGCTTCCAATGCAGAGACTGCGCGTATAAGACGACTAACCGGCGTGTTATGCGATAGCACAGCAATATAGAGCATGATAAGAAGCGCTTAAAAGACGAGGAGCTATTTAGAGCTGTCTAGCTGCAGACGTGGTTTCGGGAGAAGAGGGCGCGATACTGGGTGGTAAACGAGACGCGTTAGTTATGTGATGTTAACAACAGCAGCGGTAGTGGCAGTGGTGATGCTAGCGCCGCAATCAAGGCTGAGATCGCAGAGTGGATGATCAAGGAAGAGGGCTAATACTAGGTAAGCACAGTAGCCGCTAAGATCTACCTCTAGAAATTCGACTTACTATGGCGAACTATGCGGCTCCCGAAGCGAAATGACCCTGGATCAGGGGGGGATGCACGGACCAGTCCACCATGATAAGTTCACCATAATATGTGCTGCCCAGCGCCGGTCGATGACCTCTGTTTTTGGCCTCGTCGTCTTCCGCGACGGCTTAGGGTAGGGCGGCCTACGGACGGACTATGAGCGACGGGTTTCTCTACAAGCCGGAGTGGCAGGGGCTGCTCTGCACCCAGTGCGGGGTCTGTTTACGCCCCGGACGCAGCGTCTGGCTTCGACACCTCAAGCAGAAGCCGCACTACCTGCGAGGTGTACCGTTGAAGGCTCTCGTCGAGCTCTTTGCAACCTACGGCCTGCTGGTCCCGGAGTAGGTAGCCGTACCGACCTAAGTAGTGGCTGGCCTACGGCTCTAGGATGGCTTCTAGTGCCTAACGTGCTCGGCGGGCCTCACACAGAGCCTCCAGACCATCTAGCTACATGTGTCCAAGGCGCACTAGCAGAAGCCTACATTACATTAGAAGAGCCCCCTCTAGCGGAGGTGCAAGCTACAGACCTTCTTCGCCGAAAAGCAGCACATCTGGTATTTTGTGGCGGATGACGCCAAAGAAGCCGCAGACGCCGGCACAAAGAGCTTAGATCTAAGGGAGGCAGACTTCTTCAAACAGCTTAGTGAGGACGTAGCGGTTACAAAGGAGGATACCAAAGCAGAAGCTAACGTCGTTTATGGCTTCGGTAGCCATAAATCTGCTGTGGTGCCGTGGCTTCGACGGACGGGCATTGAGGAGCACACGCGGGGCTTGAAGAAGGATGAGATGCACACCTCTTTTGCGGTGCCAAAGAATGCCGAGAGCGAGCCCGAGCTATTCTTAATACTAGAGGTTATAGACGAAATCTTCTCAGAGGCACATAGCTAGTGCTTCGACGGCCCAGACTGTATGCTGACCTGGCTATAGCAGCTAGCGTTGAGCCGTTTCCATACTAGCGCTGCCCCGGGGCAGAAGATACGCGCCTTCGACCCCAAAAAGGAGCCTAATACGCTTAAGACCAACTTCGGCTACTAGAAGCAGTTCCTGATGTTCTGCTACCGGGTCGTCTACCGCGGCAGCCACTTCACCACGGCCGACGACGACTAGCGGACCCCTAAGAGCTGCATCCAGCTCACGGATGCCCAGGAGAAGGCGTGGGAAGCGGCCTTCCAAAGTGCTGTCGAGCAGGACCGGCCTGCGCTGAGAGATGCTATGTCCGTCCTCTCAATAGCGCTGATCTGCCACGAATTTGGAGGCAATCGGTATAGCTCCCTATTGCTCAGCTTCTGTGCTATGCTCAGCGTTAAGCCGTACACTAAGACTTAGAAGGAACCGGGCAATTACAACAGCTGCTTGTCTAGTGTGATCTGGGTTGTGTAGCTAATCATCTTCCACGCTAGCGCTTGTCTAGAGAAGGCGGAGCTAGGTGATACGCTCGAGTGCATTGAGCAGTATTGCGGGCGGTTCTTGAAGCAGGACACTGAGACTCCCATGGGCGAGATCCTCGGCTAGTGCTTACTGCTGTTTACCGTCTCAAAGGAGGTCGTTGGGCCGCACTAAGCACAGTGGGATGTGGATGAGAAGGTCCTAACCTACTGGGACGTTAATTTGCATATAGATCACGTGCCGCGGCTCTTACTCTCCGACTTTTAGCAAGCCTAGCACCTACTCTACGACGAGCTAATGTTCGGGGCCCAGAACCTCCCGCGGATGCGTACTTAGGCTTTAAAGGACAACTTGGACGCCGATGCCTTTAGCTAGTTCTTTGGCTAGCACCAGGAGAACGTTGAGCTAGTAAAGCCGCTAGTGAGGTCTTTGCTAACCGTTATCTAAGACTCAAAGCCGTTGCGGGACTCGTTCCTGGATGCTACCGCAGATGGTGCCAAGGTCTGGCGAGGGAAGGCGATTGAGTAATATGAGGCTGTGGCTAACGAGTTCCTAAAAAGGCTCTTAGTCTTAATCCACATGGGTTCTGGCCAGCCTCTGCGCGAGAGTGAACTATTCTCCGTCACCTGGCGTAACACCTAGCGGCGGCGAAACGTCTACCTCAAGCACGGGCTAGTTATACTACACACCACATACCACAAAGGTCAGCAGCAGACGGGCAAGTTTAAGGATAATATCCGGTTCTTACTTGCACCCGTTGGAGACCTCTTGCTCGACTACTTGGTAGTTATCATCCCGCTCCGCTAGGTCTTCCTCCGCCAGTCTGCCCCGCATACTATTATCTCTCCGTACTTGTGGTGGTAAGACGGGAAGGTCTGGGCTAACAACCGGCTCACGCGGTGCATAGAGCAGGCGTGTAGTCGGGCCAGCATCCCTAGGCTACACATAGCCAACTAGCGGCAGATGACAGTCAATATCATCAAAACTAAGTTTGTAGCTAACGTTGGGTGCTTTGAGGTTAACGACGGGGCTAACGACGAGGATGCCGAAGAGATTGAGGCTAACATTCGGGTTATAACCAAGCAGCGGAACCATAGTACGCGGACTGTCAACCGGGCATATGCAAACTAGCACAATGCTAACTTTGGGAACGTGTGGGATGGCCTTATCCGCCGGAATCTGCGTGCTTCAACTCTGTGGAAGGACTTATGGGGGCTTGACCAGCTGCTTGGACCTACTGGGAAGAGGAAGCGGGATGGTGAAGACATTGGTGGTCCGCAAATGCTCAAGAAGATCGCCATAGGGGTCTACCGGCCACGGAAGAAGTGGTCAGCTATGGCTCTACTAAAGAGCGCCAGAAAGCTATACTAGGATGACACGCTGCAATGGAGGTTAGCAGCCTAGGAACGGGCTGTGACTACTGTTATATTATAGACTAAGCAAGTAGTGGTTATTATAGCTACTAGCGAAGGGAAGAGCCTGCTGTTTATACTACCCTGCATCCTCCCTAATGCTAGGGTAACGATCTTAGTCTTGCCCCTTATGTCTCTACGAGGGGACCTCCTCCGCCGAGTCCGAGAGTTGGGGATCGATCACTTAGTGTAGGCGCCTAGCGAGCAGCAAGATGCACCCTTAGTGTTTATTATAGTTAAAGTAGCATATACGGAACAGTTTCGGACTTATGCCCACAAGCTTGCGGCTACACAAGACCTCGGCCGTATTGTGTTTAATGAGGCTTACTTAACTATTATAGCGTCCGACTATCGCTAGGCTATAGTTGACCTCGCCTTAATCCACAACGTCCGTATGTAGTTTGTTTACTTAACAGCTACTCTACCACCGATAATGTAAGCTACGTTTGAAGAGCAAAATAACCTAGTGAATCCCAAAGTGATCCGGGCATCGACAAACCGGCGAAATCTGTTCTATCTAGTGCAGCGGGCTACTAGGCTAGGGACTCTTCTAGAGGAGGGCGCGCGGAGGGCTCGGGACGCGTGGGAGAATAGCCGGCTCTTGGATCGGGCTCGAGACAAGATCATTTTGTACGTGCGGACAAAGGAAGATGCTGCTACGCTAGCCGAGCTGCTCTGCTGCTCCTAATACACAGCTGATACAGGCACAGCTAAGCAAAAGGAGGAGCTGCTGAGAACGTGGCTTGCTTCCTCGGACCAGCCGTATATCGTGGCCACGTCTGCACTAAGCGCCAGCTTCGACTATGCCCACGTTCGTCTAGTTATACACATCAATAAGCCGTCGTCTTTAGTCGACTTCGCCCAAGAGTCTGGCCGGGCCGGACGAGATGGAAAGGAGGCGTACTCGCTGGTCCT